AACAAAGAAAGTTCATAAACCAAAGGATTTTGAAAATCCACAGGTGAGAACAGCAGATGAACAGATTGCAGAAATCAAGATCTTTGCTGAGAAGCTATCTGATGGCATTCTTAGTCCTTTGGGTTGGTAAAGACTAGAGTCTATTTTTATATTCCAAAAGGATCTACCTAGTAAATCATAAAGATGAGTATTATATTCAACACAGAGGTGGGCAATGATTGTCTGTTAATGTGAGAGGCTAATGTTAATGTTAAGAGCGCTAAAAATAGGCCAAGATTATTTGGTTTGGAACCTGTAGCATTCCAGGTGTCTACAAGCAGGGAAGTTCTAACCAGTCAATCAGTCAGCAGATTCTTTTTCTAGGGGTGGGGTGGGTGGATGGGTATTGAGACAACACTGTGTAACCCCTGACTGGCCTGGAACTTACTTTGTTGTTTAGGTTGATTTTGGACTCACAGAGATCCACCTGCCTCTACTTCCCAAGTACTGCAATTAAAGGTGTGCACCACTATACCCAGCAGGAGTCTTTTAACACATTCCAGAATTAGTAAAGTGACCTGATAAACCCTATGTGATCAAGCACCTATGGACCACCATAGGTTCACCACTCCACCCTCTCATTGAACTGTTTCTGGCTTCTTTTAGCTTTCAGGTGGCCTTTGGCTGTACCTTCTTCTCTCCCACCACAGGATTTTCATTCATGTTCTTCTCACTCCCTAGGTTGCTCTTCCTCTCCATCTTTTCCTGCCTTTACCTAATTCCCTCTTGGATTAAACTCGTGATACCTTTCTTAATCACCTCCTGAAACCTGAGTTGTTCCCACTGTTCATTTTCCTCACAACTTTTAATTTAGAATAGTTTAATGACCCCCTCACCCTCCATAAACTGCAAATTCCAACAGAGTATGGAGCACACATATCTAAGCTCACCATTGGGTTCCCAGTACCTAGCATAGGATATCAAATGCATTCATTGAACACTGTATACTCTTTGAAAGCCATGGAATGGCTGACTATCCTTGCTTTGGTCCAGAATCCTGCCTTATAGCAGCTCCAATAAATAAAACTATCTTCCAAAAGACCCCAACACTTGAATGTAACATTGGTTAAGGGAAGGAGCTTCTTTCATTTGCATGAAAGCCAAGCTGTGCCTTCACATAGACTTACACTATCATAGCTGCTTCTTCAATATGATTTAGTAGTTATATCATTAGCCAAGGATAGTTCTTCATAGCCTGTTGTCTAATACCTTTAAATGTATATTGTTTCATATAGTCTGTCCAGTTTTCTTGTTTCAGGCAGGAAGTTAAATTTGGGTTTTGCGCCTCCTCCATCTTGACAAAAAAAAAAGAACTGTTTTGGGGAGTTAGAGTTCATTGTGGTAGAATTTGGCTTGTCATAGAAGAAAGCAGCTGACACTGGCCCAGTATGGAACTTGTATCAGGATAGCTGATCTCAAAGTTGAGCCTCTGTGAGTATTGAGCGATTATACAGTGACATAGAAATGGTGGAGAGCAGTCCAATTGGGCATAGCTGGATATTCACTGCAGGAAGAATTTTAGCTCTTTAGTTAACTGGCCAACAAAGCTAGAATAAGCTCTAGGTCCACCTGGTAGTAGTATTTTTTAATCAGTTTTTCTCCATGTTACATATCACAAGCTTCTAGTCATGTTGTCTGGTAGGATCTTTAAGAGTTGTATCTGTGTTTGTGTGTAGAATGAAGATGACAAGTATGTGGTTTTAAGTCTGGAGCAGTCACACTCTCCGGCCACAAATGAAGCCATCTGAGGGAAATGTATGTTGGTCAAGACTGGCATTCACTGATGTGGTTGTGATTTCCCCGAATTCCTGAAACCCTGCTTTCCACAACATGCAGTATATGGTGTTTGTGGGAGTGAGAAATTGTAGAGAAACATCAGCCTTGCTTGAGTGTTGAATTTGGGACTGGACGGCATTGTTCTTTTTGAGTCTGGGAGCAGCTGTGATAGTTCCTTTGAAAAAAAGGCAGAATACTCTAACCCTCTGGATAAAAGAGCCTTTCAAAGCAGCCACTGTGGATTTGGAAGGATGTGTTCCATTGTTAAGGGCCGAATAGATGTGCTATACTGTAACACTTAACCCTAACTCCAAATGATAAGAAAAGATATGGGTTGTTAAAAATACACATGCACCCAAAATATCCCGAAATGAGTGAGCACTTTATCAGCTTATATGTCATGGTCATCACACGAGTGAGGGAGGCACTGCCACATAAAGCCTTCCTATGCCAGCTCCAGTATGAATTCCCTTCCATTCTGGCACCCCTGCTTCCTTCTGTCTGGTTTCCTCCACTGGTCCTCGGATAGTCTGTACCCTAACCCTCATCATGTTACCAGGTATGGCTGTGCACCACTGGACAGCTATGAGTGTGGTTCAACACAAAATAATAAAAGCTACTTAAAACATGAGGACTTTTGAAATTTTATTTTGTGATTCTATTGTGCAGTTCTTGAGCATGAACTTTGTATATGACAGTGTTGCGTTGCAGTGTTAACACAACTGGACATGCTTGAGCAAAGACTATTCTTTGATGCAGCATCAGACTGATCTTGAAGATGAAAGTATCTTATTTCAGATGTGTGTACCTAGTGCTAAGCACAATGCTTGACGCTCAGTAGGTCTTCACAAGTACCTAATGAATGAAATCCAAGGTGATTTCATCGGGTTCGGTTAGACGCCAGTTCATATTACAGACAAGCAAATAAATGGTAAGTCTGAATTTTGTGATAACGAAATAATGTGAAGCATCCATTATGGCAGCCACTAGCTCCGGTGCTTACCCAGGGAACATGGCCAGTGTTACTGAGGAAATGAAGTTTTCTTTTTATTCCCTCTTAAATAAGTTAGATTTCAATAGCCACATGATCAGATGGCACAGTTCTGGAGCCACGCAGATGTTTAATAAAGATCAGATACAACAGCAAGCATCCATCATGTTCTTCATATTATCAAGGAAACTGAGAACAGGAGGTCACTAATGATCCAAAACACACAGCTCTATCTTTCTATCTTTTCTTTATCTTTTGGAACAGATCCAGCCCAAGGATGTTGGTTTCTCTTAGTTTAAGAGCCTGAAGAGAATTTGGACTTTACATGCATTCCTTCCAGTCAATCTGCAGAAAGCCATGTGGCCAAAACAAAACAAAACAACAACAAAAACCCTGAGCTCCAACATCCGTGTTTACAAATCTCAAGTGTCCGGGGCTCTTTAAGGAATTAACTGGCTAATGAACTTGAAATCATATTGTGCACTCGTTCTATGAGATTTTGCAATCTGTTTCAGTGACTTAAACCTTCCTGAATAAAGGTGGTCATCGTTTTGAAATAGAAGGATGCACAGGCTTCTTGGGAAACCCTGATAGTTTGCATTTCCCGATGAGCTGAAGAGCAGTTTCGGGAAGCAGAGAATCCAGTCACTTTCTGTGGTAGACTGACATTGAGTGTTACCTTCACATGGTATGCTCATCTGAGAAAAGTTCCTCACCGCTTTGTCCTGCTGGGCTTGCAATCCCTGCATCCTATGAAGACCATTTGAGGGAAAGCCTTTCAAGTAGCTTAGTGTGCTTACCCCGAACTAATGAATTGCCCTTGATTGCTGTTAAGCATGTTAATGCGTTTAAAGTTGGATTTTCCCTGACAGGCCATTTACTGGAGGGTCTGGATAATATAAACATGGATGGGAAGTCAGGAGAGATACAGACATTATCCCCAAAGCCAGTACTGTGATAACTGGAAGATAAATGTCTCTATACTAAAAATGTCACCTGGCTGTGGAGGTCAGGCAGGCCTTTATGGACATTTCAAGGAGAAGTTTCTTTGAAAAGTATATAAAGGGACTAGATAGTTTGCTCAGTGGTTAAGAGCACTTCCTGCTGCAAAGGGCCTGGGTTCAATTCCCAGAACCTGCAAGGAGGCTCCCCACATCCTCCAGCATGAGACATGCATGTAGTGCACACACGTACATAAGCACAGGCAAAGCACTCATACACATGAAATAATACAAAATGAATCCTTTTAAGAAGGTAGATAGATATCTCATCTTCTCTATACCAAGTGTGAAGTCTGGCTCTGTCTCCTTCATTTCACTTCATGGAGTCTCATTTTGTCCTTCTCCCCTCTTGTTTCTTTTTCCCCTTCAACTACTTAAATATCACCTACTGGGTTTGGGTTCTGACTCTGAGCATGTGGCATGTGTATAAAAGGTGGAATTTGGGGAGGAGGAGGAGGAGGAGGAGGAGGAGGAGGAGGAGGAGGAGGAAGAGGACTATAAATGAATTGCTTGTGCTGCCCAGGTTGGAGAGGGGAATTTATATTAAACACCTGAGGTAATTTCTGCTAGTTTGAAGCAAACTTGGTTGGACCCACTTGGGTGGACGGTGGTGACTTGGTACTTCAGTACCTTAGAGGCCCTTTCCAAAACAGTCCCCTTGGTATTTTTCCAAACCTGGCAACAGTCTAATTACCACATTGGATTCTTCCAGCCTCCCAGGACATTGAGGGCTTAGGGAAAGCCATTGGGTGCTATGGCAGTAGATGTATTTGAAACCCCAGAAGGCTGGCTTTAGAGAAAAGCTGACTGTGGCTTTTCTTCATGGAGCCACAGTGGCTCTGCAGTCCTCTCCTTTGCCTTTATCAGTGGAATTAGTGTTCCTTATTGTCACTTGGGCAGGTACCCCTCTGCCTCACAATCAGTCAGGAAGCTCTTGTTACAACTCATAATTGACAGTTGATGGCTGTTACTCACTATCTTTGGAGACTGGATCATAGTTACACTCCCTTTAAGAGTGCCAGGGTCCTCACTCACAGAATGTAAGACTGTGGGAACTCCACCATGTGGTCCTTGGAATGTTCACATAGAGCTGAGAAGGGCGATGGAGTAGAAATTTATATGCTAAAGGTAGTGTTCATGAACACCAGAGGCATCACCGCCCATCACGGCCACCTTTTTCTCCTTTGGTGTAGGTTGCTTCGAATGCTGCATCAAGTGTCTGGGAGGAGTTCCCTATGCTTCCCTGGTGGCCACCATCCTGTGCTTCTCAGGAGTCGCTCTGTTCTGTGGCTGTGGGCATGTGGCTCTCGCGGGCACCGTGGCGATTCTTGAGCAACACTTCTCTACCAACACCAGTGACCATGCCTTGCTGAGTGAAGTGTGAGTATCCCCTTCCCTTCACAAATGCATTAAAGACGCAACTACCTCAGTGATTTCTCTTTCTTCTTTTGACAGACTACCCTGTCCTTCACCAGAAAATCAACACCTTTGATTAGAGTTTGCTATATTCAGATAGAAAAAGTCCACGAGAGATGGGAATGTAGCTGAGTTGGTAGGGTATGTGCATCCCATGCACAAAATCCTGAGATTCATCCTCAGCACTGCATGGCCTGTATCCCCAGCACGGGGAGGTAAAAGCAGAAGGATCAAAAGTTCAAGTTCATGGTCATATTTAGTTGTATAAACACAAGAGATTCTCAGAAAATAATTTTTTAAATATTAAAAGTTCAAAGTCATAGCAAATTTGAGGTCAGTCTGGGATATGAGACCCTGTTTTGTGAAACAGAAAAGAAATGGGGGTGGGAGGAGTCCATGATACAACAAAAGAGAAAAGGCCAAGTATGTAGTGTGTGTTTGAGACCCAGGGTGGAATGCCGCTTGCACATGACCAGGTGTAAATAAATACTCCACACAGTAGTGGTAGATGTGGGGACCGTAACACAGTGACGGGTTGATGCTGTAGAGCACCTTACCAGGCAGTTATCATTGTTCCCAAGTAACAAGAATCCTCCAATTTACCCCCTAGAATTGATCCTCTGTGGAATACTCATGCAGGTCTAAGTCGACAGGAACAGTATTTCTACCTCAATAACAGTAGTTCTCTATTAATTCTTCTGGCAGGAGAACTAAGCCCAGAGCACCCCAGTGCACTAAAGAGGAAGCTCTGGAACCATAGCCCTGGCCCTCTGTCTTCCTACTGTGGAACGATTCTCAGTGGCAGCACAATAGTTCTCAAGCTTGATCTCCGAACTGCAAGCCCCACTTGTGGCCATATGTACTTGTTCGAGCAACTTCCCCTTGCTTGACAATTTGGGTCTTTTTGTTGTAGTTCTGAAGTTTCACTGTTTATGTGTTGTGATCATAAAGAAGCATCCTCATCAGAGTAGAAAAGGCATAAATAGCCATTTGTGGACTCATGATGAAATGGCTTTTGGTTTGGATGTTAAGGGTCTTGCTGTGGTCTTGGCTGTCCTTGGACTTGAGATGATCCTCCTGCTTCTGCCCCCCAAGTGCTGGGATTGCAGGTGTCAATTACCATGCCTGACACAAACCACATTTTAAAATCTGTACACAAATGACATCTAAAGAGATAAACAAGAATGAGAAGGCTGTACTGGGGAATCAACTGGTACAGATGTGCGGAAGTAATGCATGGGTGGAGAGCTGGGGACATAGCCTGATCAGTAGCATGCCTACCTAATATGTATGAAGCTCTGGGTTGGATTAGAAGCGCCGCATAAACTGAGTACACACCTGTACGTGCCCACAACTGTAGGTGCCCACACCTGTAGGTGCCCACACCTGTACGTGCCCACACCTGTACGTGCACACACCTGTATGTGCACACACCTGTAGCCCCAGTGCTCAAGCAGGTAGAGGCAAGAAATTTAAAGCCATCAGTGTTGATGTGAAAAATATGCATTGGAGTCAGATGAGAGTGACAGTGGCTCAGGAATACAGATTTAGGTCACCTCAAATTCCATGATCCAAAATGAAAGCACTTTCATGTTTTTATAATAACAATAAAGAAGGCCACAAATGAAGACATTCTTCAAATACATTGATGGAAACATCAGAGAGGCAGGTTAAGCAAAGCAGGAAGCCTTTGTTGAAGGCCTCAGATACTATCTGATGACACTTGTGGCTTTGGTTGGTGGAAGGTAACGCTCTACTAAGTCAATCCAATCCAAGGATTTTTTTATCTGTTAGTCACATGATGTTAGGTCTGGCACAGAGATGGACAATGAGTGGCTATTTAGGGGGTTAAAGATAGCCCAAGCTAAATTGTAATTGGGCTCTGGATCTGTCCACAGTCATTAAGTACTAACCAATTCATAGGCCTTCTAGAAGCTTCAGTTTGAAAGTGTGGTTTCTTTCTGGGACCTTTTGTTCACATCAGTTATATAGCAAATTCAAAGCTAATCCAGGATACATGACACCCTGCCTTTTCTTTAAAAAAAAAACAGAGAGAATATGCAGAGAAGGAATAGCAGAAAAGGTGTATTAACTCAATTAGCTAGTGATCTTAATCATGGCTCTCAAACTTCCAAGAAAGTTTGCAATATGTCTATGCTTTGCTGCAGACCAGTTAACTAACTCTCTTGGAGGTCTTATCCAGGTACTGGTATTTTCTGAAACAACCAGATGATTTCACTGGGAAGCCAGTGCCTGATGATCTTCCTTTAAGGGACAAACTTAGTTGTGAATCAACTTTCTATAACTCACATGGAAGTTGACAATCCCATCACTTGTGTAACAAGGATCTGCACAAATGTCCCCTTAAAGATACCCTAAGGGCTGCCTTAGGTGATAGCGTCAACCACCAAGCCTGCTTGGGAAGTATTTTTGACATGTTGGAAAAAGCATGCTGTCTATTGAACCAGGGTTCAAATGCCTACTGTGGCACTGTGTAGCTTTGGGTGGGTAGCTTGGCTCCTCAATGCCTGTGCTACATGTAAAATGGAAATATAAACCTCCATTGCACAAGACTTGATCAACGAAAACTCTTGCTTGAGAAGGTTGTCGACCTCACCCACAGTCCTAACATAAGAAGGCCTGGACTCCTAAAGTGAGTAGCATGTCCCCATGGGTTGCCCTGTGAGCCTGATGAGGCTACGAGAGATGCCACAGTAAGGGTGCCTCGTGTCCCCACTCCACAGTGCCTCTCACATTTGCAGCCATCTTCTTTTCACAGAATCCAACTGATGCAGTATGTCATCTATGGAATTGCATCCTTCTTCTTCTTGTATGGCATCATTCTGTTGGCAGAAGGCTTTTACACCACAAGTGCAGTGAAAGAGCTGCACGGTGAGTTTAAAACAACTGCCTGTGGCCGGTGCATCAGTGGAATGGTGAGTACTAAACTCCGGTATTCAACAGAGTCATGCGGGGCTGGGTTTCTACTAGGTGAAACAGGAGCTATTCAGAGCCATATGTGGCTGGGTTTCTTCCTACTAGCTGAAACTAGGAGCTATTCATGGAGGGTCCATAACACAAATACTGTTCTTACCAATATGGCCACAGGAATTTGAAAACCTTTGTGTTGTTGATAAAATTTGTGACTGGTAGTATTAAGTCAAATGTCTCCCTTTTGTTGGGCTCTGTTCTAGAGGAAGATAAATCTTCAAAGATAGAGTAATAGACTGCTTCATCACAAAAGAAAAACATTACATATAGTACATGCTCATGAGTATTTAACACTGGAAAATAACCAGGGCCTTCTGCATGCTAGGTAGGTACTGTACCAGTAAGCTACATCCCAAACCTTATACAGATTTTGTACATATGTCCCTATCAAAATGTTGCACAGGGAGCTGGACATGTTGCTATTCATTGGAAGAATGATCAGATGTAGAGAAAGTAATTGGAAGTCTGAGAAAAGTACCAATGCTGAGGAAGAAACGTAAGGCATGGTGTGACCCTCCCAGGAGGAAATGATGCTTTCTACTGTGTAGCTGTGATTGCACCCTGCTGCAGAAGAGGTAGAAGATAGAACCAGGAAGGAGAGGAAGGACTCTCCAGCACCAGGAGAGTCCACTGTTTACAACAATTTTTGTGAAGGAGGCATGCTATTTGGGGTGGAATTCTTTGTACCCTTGATGACTTGGTCATGAAGAATATTATAAGAGCTATTGTATCAAGTTTCCTAAGGTAAATGTGGGGCTGATGAGATGGCTCCGTGGGTGAAAATGTTCACCATACATACTATACAACCTGAGTTCAAACGTGAGAACTGACAATGTTAGAGAAACCAACTCCCTGAAGACTAGCCTTTGACCTCTGCATGTGTGCTAAACACCCGTGCACACAATACTCACATGGTAATTGAAATTTTAAAAATGATCAAGGTAAATACAATCCTGACTGTGGCAGAAGTATTACCACCCTGGGAAAATCATGGAGACACAGACTGTCCCAGCTGTTGCTCTGCTTGGTCCTGGAATTTTGTGTCCTTGGCTGCACAAAGGGGGAGAGTGGAGGGTGGGAGTGTTATGATGCTGGTGGGAATGAGTGGCACCAGGCCAAGGGACAGGGACACTGAAGTGCATAACCAGAAAGGGCTTTATCCCAGACCAAAACAGAGGAAACTGCTTCACATGAGACTGGAAAGAGGGACCAGTGTGAGCAGGGGAGGCCCAGAAAAGTAATCTAGTCATGTGACTGGGCTGACCAGGAAGAATGGAGGTGAGGGGAAAGAACACTGCTTGGAGGAGGGGGAGGGGCCCAATCAAGACAAGCCTTGAATCTCAGGTTAAGAATGGCATTGGTAGGCAAAGACAAGTGGGGTAGTGGCAGGATCAACTCAGTAAAGCATAAGATCTGGCCAGTCATTTAGGGGTATGGAGGATGAATTTGGAGAAGTGAGATTGCAAGATGCCATCTCAGGACTCAAGTGAGACAGACTGTGGGGATGCCAACTGAGCCCAGGCAGTGGAGTGGAGGAGGAGCTCTGGATGTGGTCGTGGGTGGGACAATGAGAGGAAGAACTGAGTGACAAGTCTGGCTCCAGTACTGTGCTGGGGAACTGTGTGCCATTAGGGTGTGGAGAAGTCAGTGGATTCGGTATGACCCACGGGGCCTTAATACAGCCTTGGAGAACCACGTGCAATTAGCTAGTGTGTCATATACAAGCTTGGGGCTGGGGCTTCTGAGATTACTCTGGGCTGAGATGACTGGGAGTCACTTGTCTAACAGTAAAACTGTAAGCAAGTTTCCACCAAGGTTTGTGAAGGAGTCCAGAGGTACGTCATCATCTGCTGGGTAGGGTCAGAGTCATCTAGGGACACATAATGTCTCTGAAAGTAAGAGAGAAGTAGCCAAGGAGATGCCTGCGAAGGGTCCAGATCATTTGATGTATCAGGTACAGTCTGTATACCATTCCTCCCATTAATGGCCTCCTCACTGTTATAGGAACCCACATCCTGAAGGCTGTGGCACATAGTACCTGAAGATGCCTACAACCTTCTTAACCTCCATTCTGCTAGTTCTGTCCAAGTGTCACCACAGTTGAATGGCTGTACCTCAGGCTCCTGCTGTCTCTTGTACCACTGTCCCAGGAACTGGCCAGCCCTCACTTCCCTCAGCGTAAGGCAAGGTCATGAACAGTCTTACTGAAAGGGGATACCACTGTGGCCACACTCCTGTTAAGCACCATATGCCTGTTGACTCACACCAGCATCTCTTTTGGCTGGTCTTGGACCTGGGACTTGCTGATTAGACCACACTGGGTAGTTGTGAACTCCACGAGTGTACCTTTCTCTAACTATCCAGCACTGGGGTTACAGGTGTGTACTACCACACTCTGCTATTTATGTGGATACTAGGGATCAAACTCAGGCCCCCATGCTTGTAGCAGTAAGTGCTTTACCCAGCCAAACTTGGACTTTCAAAATATTTATATTTATTTAGTGGGGTGAGGGCCATAATAGCTTGATATACAGTATACATGTTATGATGCATGTATGGATGGCAGGGGACCATTTGTAGGAATCAGTTCTGTCCTCTACCTTGCACATTCTAGGGACAGAATAGGTCACCATCAGGCTTGGTAGCAAGGGCCATATCACTGGCTTTGGTTTTGAAAGGTTACATTGACCGGGCAAAAAGTGCATGGTTGGGGACACAGCAGCAGCATGCTAATGTAAGGTGAAGAGATGAGGACTGCTCTGTGTTGAGGAAGGCCTTGCTTTCCTCAGGCCTTGATGGGAAACAAACATCCACTTTCCCAGGGTGGGGAGGCTGCTGAGGAAGGCTCTGAACACCAGATTCATCATGGTGGGAGGAGAAGCTTCCAGAGGGTGCTTTCTACCTAGCACTGGTCTGACCTCTGGGACCTGACCCCTCCATGGGAAGTAAAGGCTCATCTAGGCCAAGGAACACCAGCAGCCCCTTCTCAAGTCCCTTTGGTGTTATTAGAAAGCCCATCAAGGGCATCCGTTCTCTATGGATAGGGAAAGAAGGAGAAAACCTTTTCTGAACAGCCAGCTTGGAATTCTTGGGGAGGAAGAAGAGGTGGGACTCCTGAAGTGTGTTCATTTGAATAATTTTAGCAATACAGGTGCTTCAGAAATTGGGAAGGCCCTTACAAGAACAGGACAGTACCTTGTATCTGCAGTTTCTCAGGATGACAAAGAAGGGGCAGCAATTTGAACCTGATGTCCAGGCCATTCTCCCCCTATTGCATAAAGTTAGGTGAAGATGAAATAGAAGAGGAAAACGGGAATCTTAACAGATTCAGTTGTGCTCATGACAAACTTCTGGTCAAGGTTCAAGCATCTAATGCTTCCAGTAAGTTCTCTGCACCAGGAAACTTGCAGAGTTCCTTTTAAGAAAAGGCTTCCTGTGATAGTTGCTATTTTTCCATACCCACATGCAAGGTAAAACAAAGGGACGTGCTGAGAAATCAACATGCTGTTATGATTCAGTGACCTGTAAAAGACACCCTGGACCTACCTCACATTTAGTAGGATACTGGGAGTTTTGGGGAGCTGATGTTTAGAAAGACTATCTCATCGCTGGCCCAAGTGTGCTGGCCTGTGAACCCAGTTTTATGCCAGGTTGAGGTAAGAAAATCAAAAGTTTAAGCAACTTAGTGAGACCACTTTTCAAAATAAAAATATAAAAAGGGAACTGGGTGTTTAGCTCAGTGGCAGAACACTTGCCTAGCATGTACAAGACCCTAGATTCAATTCCCAGTACAAACACAAAACAAAAACAAACAACAATAACAACACAACACAAGCCTCTTTCAGACCCTGTAACTAATTAGTTAAATGAAGGTCACCTCTTGGGTTCTCACAACTTTGATGGTTAAAAGAGGAATATGAGGGGCAGGAGAAATGGCTCAACTGGGTGGTCTTGAGTTTGATACTCAGAACTCAACATAAAAAATGCAGGCATGGTGGTCCAGCTTGGAATCCTACCACTGGGAAGGCAGAGACAGGGGGATCCCTGGTCCTACTTGGTCTGTTCCAGAACACTGAGACAGCACTGTCAAAAAAAAGTGCAAGTACCTGAGAAACAGGAAGACAAGTTGTCCTCTGGCCTCTACAGTCCACACATACATGCATATGTGTATCTACACACACACACACACACACACACACACACACACACACACACACACACACAATGGGGAGACTGAGAAAGCTCCAAGCTCTCTTCAGGCATTAGGGCACTACCATGCTAGATCCTTCTTGTGGGCCCTGACAGCAATACCTCCCCTGCTCCTCTATGCTGAGTAATGTTTCTTCCTCAGTTGCAGCCAGGTCAGGTCCCTGGATGCATCCTGTATCCCATGGATCCCAACTGGGCAGAAAAGTGCAGCCCTTTCCCTGAGATGAACCTGCCCATTTCAGTGAGATTCTTTTTCCCTCCTCTCGTTTTCTGCCTAGTTCGTTTTCCTCACGTATGTGCTGGGAGTGGCCTGGCTGGGTGTGTTCGGCTTCTCTGCGGTGCCTGTGTTTATGTTCTACAACATATGGTCAACTTGTGAAGTCATCAAATCCCCACAAACCAACGGGACCTCGGGTGTTGAGCAGATCTGTGTGGATGTCCGGCAATATGGTACCTCCTTTCAATCCTGTCCCCATCACTCCTTCTTTGTCTTGTGCCTATACCTGGGATAGAATTAGCACATAGACCTCTTTTTAACCATCATAACTCATTTCCTGCCTTCTTCATGAATAGTTCACACTCTTCTCTATTTCCTGGAGGCAAGCCTCCCTGGGCCTTTATACTTGCTAGAGGATGTTATCTGAGATTTGTAAGAATAGTTTTCAAGTTAGGTAGATAGTTAAAAAAATAAGCCTTTTATAATGCAAAACTACTTTATAATGCAGTTCAACTAAAAACAACTTTGATACCCACTGTAAAAATTTAATTTTTTTTGTTTTTCTTTTTTTGCCCTCTTTTTGTTTTTATCTCACTGTGTAGTCCAGGCTGGCTAGCTGGTCTTGAACTCACAGCCCCACTTCAGTCTCTTGAGTGCTGGGATCCTAGCATGTGCTCCTATGCCCAGTTCTTTTCAGTTTCACACTGACTTCTCAGCTAATATATTTGTATACCTGGCTCTTTAAAGGAAGCCTTCTTTAAAGGACCATGAACTTTAACTAATCTTTACTGAAAAACAACATAAAATGCAGATGTATTTCAAAGTCACCATGATGGACTCTAGCGGATCGGTCTTCAGTAGTCAAAAGCTGGTTTAGATATTTTTTTCTCACAAATGGGATCCTCAAAGCACAGTTCCTGTGACAAGCCACAGAAAGAGTCACTGGGGTCTTTAACCAATTAATTTGGGTGAAAATTGACTCCCTTGCTGAGGGAAGGCCACATCCTAAAAAGGGAGTGTAATTACTGCTCTATCTAGGATAGTAGGAAATGGGTTCTCACCAGAAAACAGGGAGGAAGAGAGCTTTCCATTAGAAATGAATTCGGAATGTGTCCTGGACAAAGACGGCTTTCATTTTTACACAGATTTGCTTATGTAGCTTAGTCTCAACATCTTATAGCATTGTATAAAACTTGCCCAAAACTGCCCACAGCAGATCTCTTCTCACAAGGGTTCAGCCTTAAAACAGATTGAAAGGGCCTCGGGCTGGGCACGGTGGCACGTCTATAATCACAGGCGTCAAGAAGCTGAGGCAGCAAGATTGCCAGTTCCTGGCCTGCCTGGGCAGACTCGACCCTGCTTCAAAACATAGTTTCCATAAAGGAATATGTACAAGTAATCTCTGCACGCCTTACAAAGAACTCTTGTTGCCATGGTAATAACGTTTTTAAATCGTGTCTTTGCCCAGCTGGTTATTTTTGAGTGTACTTGAGTTGACATTAGAGATAGGAGAGAATGAGGACTTAACAAAAGTCCCTTCCTTACTTTCTGGGAGAAGTGCAAATTTAGCCATGCTTATATTTAAGCACATTTCCATGCATTAAAGAGAGAGAAGAGTGGTAACCCAGTAGACAACCGTCACTGTGGAAAGAACACAAGAGTTATAGCTAGAAAAAGAATAATACAACCTGTGTTCCTGTGGAAAGGATACAGACCCTAAGGTTCATGTGATCTAAAGCACCACTATCGCTTCATGAGGGGGTTCCCCTGCAAATTAAATTCACTACAGGAAAAAAATTCTAGCCTTGAAAGTGTGGGCCATGCAGTGCACTGCACACGTTTAATCCCAGAATTAAGGAGACACAAATGCAGGCAGATCTCAAGGCCATGCTGGTCTACACAGCTAGTCCTTGGCTAGCCAGGGCAACACAGTGAAACATGTATCTACTAAAAGAAAATAAAAATTGACATTTATAAATACTTAACTCCACTGAACAAAGTACAGTCTACAGGGAAAAAATGCCCAACTATTGAAGTCTCACATAGACTAGAGTGATTTAGCTCTTGCTCTGTTACCCAAACAGAGCTTATTCTTGGTTCCTCATTGCCTGAACTTCAGACAGCAGATGACTTGATTGAAAAGGAACATAGCTGACAATGTAACGAATCCAAAGTGGAAAGGTCTACTAAGAAAGTGAGGAGGAGGGCCAAGACGGCAGCATAATAGTTGACTGTGTGCTTAGCACACACAAGGACCCTAAATTCAATCCCTGGCGTTGCAGGGGAGAGAGAGCACTACCACCACAAAACTAAAGCAACCTAAATGGAAGCCAAACCACTGGTACTACAGTTTGTACTCATATTCTGTTCGGGTTCATTTCACAGGTATCATTCCCTGGAATGCTTTCCCAGGCAAAATCTGTGGCTCTGCCCTGGAGAACATCTGCAACACAAATGAGGTAAACAAGTCACAGTCCTGAGCACTCACACTTGGTGACTTACAACCTAAGCTGAGAAACAGGGCTCTAGATGATGGCGAAAGTGCCAGGAAAGGAAGGTCTTTAGTGTAAACTGTTGAACTCTGTGTAACCACCACTCTTTATTTTCCATCACCAAAAAAATAATGTGCATTTCATATGGTCCAGCCCATTTAGGAAGGATCCTTAAGATGATGGGCTTTTTTACTCTCTGCAATAGTTTGTGATCCCAAACCTAAATATCTGAGAAATGATTTTGGGGAATGTTTTCAGAAAACAAAACACTTTTCACAGACAAACTGAAGTTAATTCCATTTTTTTAGAAGTCTGGGGCTGGAGAGATGGCTCAGCACTTAAGAATACTTGGTGCTGTTCAGATCAACACAGGTTCAGTTCTCAGCACCTGTTAGAGCAGCTCACAACCATCTGTTAACTCCAGTCCCAGGGGGCCCAGCATACTCTTTTGGCCTCCAAGGATACCAAGCACATATACTATTATACATGCAAACAAAACATCCATACCCACAAATACAATAAAAAACAATAAAGTACCCTAAATTTGTGCATATATTAGATTTTTACTAAGAGACCAGAGCTAATCATTTCTATTTCCAGAACAACTTATTATGAGGGTTTTTTTTTAGTCCTTATCTGGCAACATACCCTAACACTGAAATCAAACTTGCTTAATGCTATTCATCATCTGTGGGCTTACAACTGTTTAGGAAACAAGTCTCCAATGCACTGGTGAGAGTGTGTATTTAAGAAAACATTAATGTGTTTTGGAAAACACCAAGTTATAGGAACAATCAGCTTTTCCCCTGTCTGGCTTGTCCATTTGTATAGCCATAACATGGATTGGTGGCTCATAGCAGAGCCTCCTAACCTTGGCTGCACATAGCAGTCAAGGGACTACACTATATCCATGGTTGAGGCCCAGACCTTTGCTAGTCCAATGTGATTCTGGGGTGCAGCCTGAGCATCAGAAATGTTTGAGCCTCCCACAGTGATTGTAACATGAGCCTGGACTCCAAGGGCACAAGGGCACATGGGCCTATGCCCAGGCTGGCAGCCAATAGCTATAGAGTAAAGCAGCATGTAGTCAATGGCTGTGGAGTAAAGCAGCATGTAAGATCCTTCACACCACACAAAATGCTCATGGTACCCCATTCTTTCCTAGTTCTACATGTCCTATCACCTGTTCATTGTGGCTTGTGCTGGAGCTGGTGCCACCGTCATTGCCCTGGTGAGTAACTATCCCAGAAACCCCCTAGTGTAGCACTCTTGCCCCTTCCTCCAAACAATACACTTCCTTTTCAGCTTTTATCAGCAGATGAAGCAAAGGATGTGTATATTCAGCTGTGGTTAACTGTTCCTTCTGTAAACTTACCGAATGTCTAGTTTGCAGGAAGTATTAGTAGCTGCCTTGGCACCGACTGATGCAGTTTGGACACTGGAAAGAAGAGAGGGTACCAACACCTGCTGACTAGGCATAGCATGTTGCCTTATTGCATTTAGCAAATAGCTCCATGACTTCATTCATGGACAGAGACTCACGTGAGTCACTGCCCATTTCTTTGCAAAGAAATGTTGATTTCCAAATAGAAATATAATATACATAAATAGTTGATCTCCTTATGTGCAGAAATAATATTCTATATAGTCAATTCAAATGTTAAATTGTATATATTGAACACAGCCTATCGGGGAAACACAGAGTAGCCTCTGGGTAACATTACTCCATGTAGATTTCAGTGTAAGATACTTTAGTTAATATATATTGTTGATTCCTTACTACCATCATCACTATTACCCATGTCTGGCTAAAGGTTGTCTCACATACATTATCTCTGGAAGGCACTAGCGCGCCTTTCTTGGGAGCTATTTTAGCAAAAGGGGCACTAAACAGAATGCTTGCTTACAGTGTGAGCACAGAACACAGGCAGCAAAGCATCACCTCAGTAAACCTCAGCTAAAGGCGTGCACACGAGGGGACTCAAATCTTTAACTGCTTTGCACGTGCCCAGTCATTGATGAGAGAATATTGTTTTAGTGTGACATATTTTACCAAGTAGGCGAACTTGGAATCTGCACATAATGAGAATCAACTTATAAGCAAATAGGCTTGCATGCATGTCTGGGACTGGTGGTGGCACAGGGCCTTGGTTTATGACTTGTAAGAAAGTAATTTAAGACTGGGAGAGCAAGGAGATTTCAGCTGCTTGAAGATGGCCCATCCTCAGTTTTCGTAACCATTAAGTCATTCCTTCCCATGAAATCACCATGGTGACCTGTTGTCTTGGCTGAGCAACAGGCAGGAAGAAGACTAATTGCTGCTGAGCAGGCAGTTGGAAACGATGAGAAGAAACAGGGCAGTGAGCTTCATCTCTCATACTGCTGACCCAGCTCTCTATCTTGTTATTCTTGAACCATATCCAAGGCTTTTTCATAATCTTACTAAGGGCAGAGCCAAGGACTTACATTATGTATGTGTGATCAGAAAAAGTCATGTGCTAGATGAGAAACATCATCTGCTTTGATTGCAAAGTGGGGAGAAAGTCCTTAGACTGTGAGCTGGCACTCATGCCTGCCCCAGTTTAGAGGTGTCGCACCATCAGCCCCCACTGCCTGTATCTTACTCTCCTGTTTTGTTCTCTTCCACCAGCTGATCTACATGATGGCTACTACATATAACTATGCGGTTTTGAAGTTTAAGAGTCGGGAAGATTGCTGCACTAAGTTCTAAATTGCATAAGGCTGATAAGGAGCTTTAGGGAGCTTGGCTCTGTAGCATGAATACCACTGACACTCCAGACTAAAGCAGAGTCTAGCTTTCTAGTTTTGCTACAGTAATTTGTAAATAGCTTAAGTTAACCCACTTTGCATGGTAGACTAAATAATATGATTTACTGTACATGGATTACAAAAGAATGGGGTCTGGCTATTTCACAGTTTGAAAAGGATTGTTATTTACTGACACTGGTGAGCATCCTTTGAAAAATAATTTTCTTGAACTTAAACTTGGAGCAGTATCTCTAAATGAAGTGTTACCACTTAGACATACCTGCATTTTCCGTTATTTTTGCTTGCTTGATAACCAGCCTTAATGATGGAAAAGAAAACAAGTGTTGAAGATGGAAAAGTTATAACCTAGATTTCATTTTGTCATTCTCTTTTCTAGCAAATATTTTGCAAGCATATTTTACATTCCATTTAAAAGGCTTTTATATCACATGGTTTGTTCATTACCAAATAATGCCCTTTCAAGTGGACCAGATACAAATTTGAAGAAGGGTGTCACCCATTTGATTTTTCTGAAAAACGATTACATATTTTTTGGCGTAATACTTACACCTTTATAACCCACAAAACTAGTAACTTCAAATTGTCTTGCTGAACAGTAACTGTTCCCTCATAACTAGGTTCTTAAGTTGCATGTAAGATTTTAAATAGGAAGAGAAGCTGGGCCCAGATCTGAAGGTCTCATATACACTGAGAAGGAAGTATGGCTTTTAAAGAGACTGAGCTGTGTAGATTTATGTTTCAAGGAGTAGGAAAATACATGAGAAGGAAGTGTGTGCCACATAAACTGTAAAGAATAAGGATTTTTATGTGAAATGAACTTAGAGGAAATGAAGTAAAGGCAGTTATAAAAGGAAGAACAGTTTTCACTACTAAAAACGTGTTAGCACACAGACTGCATACTTAGTTTTTTAATTTGGGTTTTGACATCCATTTAATTTTTCCACATTAAATATACAGTTCTATAATTATTTACTCAAAATAAACATTTTTCACACTTGTAGGCCTTTGGGGAATCTTTCTTTACCCACAGTTAAGTCTTGGCCCTAGACTTTTAAACCTAAAAGGCAATGTTTCTGAGCTTCTGCATTTGTCTTTAAAATTACTCTCAAGATGGTAAAAGGCACTGTCATGTTTCATTTTGACTTCTTAACAATAACTTTGGCCATTTTATTCCCAAGTTTACTCTATTTGCATACTAACTTTTCTTCAGCTCTTAGTATGAAGCCAACTAGTAGAGCATGCTGTGCCTCTGACAGCTCTGCTAGCAGGAGAGCACTAATAGTGAATAACCCTCGGCCCTCTCCAGCTGATCTGTCTAATCTGACTACCAGCTCGCTTTGCCTTCTCACATGCTCACTAGCCATCATGCTCACCCTTCTTTTCCAGATCCACTTCCTCATGATACTGTCTTCTAACTGGGCTTACTTAAAGGATGCAAGCAAAATGCAGGCTTACCAGGATATCAAAGCAAAGGAAGAACAGGAACTGCAAGATATCCAGTCTCGGTCAAAAGAACAACTCAATTCTTACACTTAAGAGTGTTTGCCAGAGTGTGTCAGCCGACGAATTTACAGCTCTGACAAATCATCAGACAGCTGCTCTGCAGTACAGATGTGTATCCCACCAAACTAATGTAGACATACCAACATTTCACTGTCTGTCTCAAGCTGCTGGGGTGGATCTCTAGGAAAACCTTCCAGTGGGCAAATCATTTTCTTAGAACAAATATTGGAGGTTTCATGTTAGCCATTTTAAAAGGCAACACTTTGACAGAATGACCGTTCATCCTTTGCAAAGTTGTGGCATGTGCACTTAACTGCTAAAGCAGTTCTAATACAGGCAATGGAATTACATCATGCTCCTTGATAGTATCAAAGAATGTGATTCTAGATTTGCATATGCCACCTGTTCTCGAGTGTTATCAAAATAGAATTGGTGTGAAGTTCATTTCTGATAGCTGACCTTTATTAACCTTTGGCTCATCAAAGATGTGATTATTTCAAACCTGTAAAAATTAGCATCCCCAAGGTCTCACTCATTCATTTCCCATGCCACTCAGAAATCTATCTGTTAGTAATGCTAAAATGAGCTGCAATTACGCTAAATTTATCAGTGCAGAAGCTGGATTCAGACTCGAGCTCTGCAAAATCGGCTTTATATTAGCTCACATGGCAACGAAATGATAGTGATGATGATCACCATTCTTGTTTAGAAACAAATGTCAGCTCTGCCTTAATATTTGCTTTAAATTTCCAAGAATCTATATTGTAACCAGAGACCCAAAATAGTCCTTCATAGACTTCTGTTCCATGAATTTCTTTTTTTAATTAAGAAGTGTTACCTTGTTAAAATGACCACAGTTCTAAACCATCTTAAGTGGTCTGGATAATGAGTTTACAGTTTCATATCAACTATCTAAAACCTAACTGCAAATTGACCACAGCCTCTGACCTCCTACTTTTATAGACTTTAATACGTAAGTAATTTAAATTAGGGTTGGTATTTGTTTTCTTATCTAAATCTTAATTTCCTGGAATAATAATGTTTAATGTTCAGCAAGAAAACTGCTTGAGTTTAAGCCATTTTCAAAAGAAACTTGCCTTCTAACTCATTGTATTCCAGAACATTAAGTGATTAATAGGTACTGGGTATTAGTGATGGTAAGCTTTGTGTTGTTTTTTTCTGGAATGATTCATATAACTGTGGGGTGCATCAGTGCTTTTCAAAGGGGCTGCATACTATAGGGTTAACTATGTATATTCATGTTAAGAGTTACCTTGTGGTTTGGCTGTTTCCTGGATTTTAAAAAATATACATGTGCAGAAATGTATTCACATGAAAGGAAGCATACCTTTATCAAGATGCTATTAAAATCGAACATCAACTATCGTATTTCATTTGGATTTTTTTCTTTTGGTCAATGCCGAAAAAACGCCTATTTGGATTCTTTGTAATTGGGAGATGCTCTCTTCTGTGTAGAAAAGTTGTTCCAAGATAGCTTAGTGTTTTGTTTTCCTGTTGCATGACAGAATTCAATATTTTTTCCAGCAGTGGAGGTGCTGTTAGAGTTCAGTGTTCTAGAAGAGGCAGTGTCTAAAAGCCTAATTTTACTTTTCTAATTCTGGTAGCTATTGCCAAGAATTTATGAAAGTTTTGTTGAAGTAGTCTAATATTTTTTATGTAAAGAGCATTAAATTTTGCTATGTATAAATTTTTGTAACCTAACAGTGAATCAATATTTTCTATCAGTGCCAAGGGCTTCCTGTAGTTCTATTCAAGTGTTACAATAAATATTTGTAGATAATAGTCAATACTTGTGTATGCTTATTTTAAAGATCTATTTAGGTGGAAATAGTTGTGGATGTACTAAAGAGTAATGAAATAAAATTATAGCTTCATTTGCTTGCCTTTTTACCATACATAAATCCTATCTTTCTCTGTTCGAAGTATGGTGTCATTTTTAAATAACATAATTCAAAATTTCACAGTGGTAAAGAAATGTAGTCCATGGGAGAATGCTACAGGTTTTATTTTGCACACACACAGAAACCTGATTTTAGCAAGAACAATCTGAGGAAATATAACCACTGGGCTGTATTTTGTATAAAATGCCACTAGCACTTAAAAGGTCTGTGAAAGGGACAAGATTTTCATAACTAGTTTCTCCAATAAAAAGCCATCTACCTACAGGATTAACACATAGCTTAATTTAGGGCAAAGTAGAAATACTGGAGAGCCTTAGTTGACTCATTTTCAATCTCAAAGTCTAGGGGAAAAGATCTATCTGGGGATATCATGAAATCTAATTCTGACAGTTATTTTCTGAAGCAGCAGCACAAAACTTGATACTTGAAATTTCATTCTATAATTTGAAACATTACTGTATGATTATGCATTTGCATTGTTTATACCTGACCTTTCTTAGTGAGGCCCAGCCTTTGGGCATTAAGGACACAATAATCTTTATATGAGGTGTTGGCACTTGATCACGGCCTCTCACTCATATACTGCAGAACCAACAGGAGCCCAAATGCAATGAAATTTGTCTCACTTAATACCTTCTGCTTAGGTTGCAGTTTGTGTCATTGGATAAGCCACAGGAACCTCCTGAATAAACTCTAATGGTTTAACAAAAATCACAATCAGTCTTAATTGACAAATTCTACCATCAAACACAGAAACCTCCAAAGGGCACAGGTTTTTCCAATTACCTCTTGTAAAACATTTTAGGTGCCAGGTGGTGGCACACGCCTTTACTACCAGCACTTGAGAGGCGGAGACGGGTGGATCCCTCTGCGTTCAAAGTCAGTCTGGTCTACAAAGTGAGTTCCACCAGGACAGCCAGGGCTGTTACACAGAGAAACTGCGTCTCGGGGGATGAAGTTAAAGTTACAGGGGAAGCTTACATACTTAAAATCTTACATACTTAAAAATTAACAACTCCATTCATTGTAAATAAGGATCAAGGATACTACCTTAAAGATGTTGGCTTATGCCTACTATAAAATATCTTAGAACAGGTAACTTATAAAGAAAGAACTCTGGGGCTTTTTGTTTTGTTTTTTTTTTCTAGACAGGGTTTCTCTGTGTAGCTTTGTAGACCAGGCTGGCCTCAAACTCAGAGATCTATCTGCCTCTACCTCCCAAGTGCTGGGATTAAAGGTGTGCACCGCCACTAACTAAGTCTGAGGTTTCTTTTGTTTTGTTTTTACAGTTCTGGAGACTGAGACACTCAATAACAAAGTGCTGGCAAGTTCAGTGATTGGTGACAGTCAGGCCTTGGCTTATAGAGTGGTGAAGTTCGTGGTACTTCTGAAAGAGATGAGATTGCTCTGTCTCTAAAAAGATAAGAGGCAAATGGGCCTATAGGAAGGTCATTCATTCCATTTAGGAGGGTTCTGCTTTCATGCCTGAATCATCTCCTAGAGGACCACCTTCTAATACAATCACACTAGAGTTTCAGTTCCAACATATGAGTATTGGAGGACCTACACATTTAACCACAGCAGATGGCGAAATATTATTTATAGACATTACAATGGAAAAATTTGTGTTCATATCTAGGGAGAAAACTGTGCTGGATGGATGGCTTCCTGTTTTACACGTCAGAGCCTAAGTGTGGAGCAGAAGGCATACAGTTTAAACTTAGCAAATGCAGGCCTGCAGCCTAACAATATAAGTTTTCAAATAGGTATAACAAGACAAAACCAGAGAGGGGAGTGTCATTTTAGTGTAATGAATAAATTCCACGGATTAAAAAAAAAGCATGGCAATGTATGCCTTAAAAGGGAAACAGAGGCAGACAAATCTGTGCAAGTTCAAGGCCAGCCAGGATTTCATGAGTGTCTCAAAAAATAAAAAGGTTGGTGGAAAGGTTCAACCGACTCTGTTATTTGTTTCTTACATTATGGTACCAAATTAAAACCACATCAAAAAATCAGTACACACAAACTTTTTGACAATTTTAATTACAGAAAAATAAGAATACTATTACACAACTTCTTGTATGGAAGAAGCTAGACAGCTAATGTGATTACCAGACGTCATCTGGTTCTTCATGAGAAAAGCCTGGAGAACTAAAGAGAAAAATTAGATATTTGAAAAACTGATGTCAGTTGTTTTCAACCTGTGGGTCATGATGGGAGCTGGGGGTAGGTATTGAACAACCCTTTCACAGGGGTCACCTAACACCACCAGAAAACACACATATTTACATTACAAGTCATAAGTTATGAAGTAGCAATGAAAATAATTCTATGGCTTGGGGGGGATACAACAACATGGGGAATTGTATTAAAGAGTCATAGCATTAGGAAGGTTGAAAAGCACTGTTCTAAATCTTAATACAGCTCTTACTTATCAAGACCAATTTCAAATAAAACCACAACAGACTTTTTTTAAAGCCAGTGTTGTTTTGGTTTTGGTTTTGCAGGGTATCATGAATCCCTGGCTGGTCTCAAACTATGTAGCCCAAACTGACTAAATTTCTAATCCTCTTGCTTCCACCTCTGAGTGCTGGAATTACAAGCATGCATACAGGATCACACCCTGTTTATGAGGTGTTGGGGATTGAACCCAGGGATTTCACATTCTAGTTAAACACTTCTAAGCTAAATCTCCATCCCTGTTAAATTCATTTATTTGAGAGACTCACTATGCAGCCCAAGTTAGCTTCAAACTCTTGCTCTTCCTGCCTCAGACTCCTGAGTGCTGAAATTACCAGCATATATTACTATGGCCAACTTTCAAAAGACAGTAATTTTGGTTGTGGGCCTAGCCTTTAACGGCTGAGCCATCTCTCCAGCCCCAAAAGACAGTAATTTTTACTGATTTAGTAATTTCTTTAAGGCAAGCCCAACTATCTGATCATTTGTAGCTGACAAAATGAGCAATAATGGTTCGCCTGAGGGACAGAATGTTTGAGGGAAACCATACCTTTCATCCTTGTCACTAGGTGCCATCGTGTCCACTAGTGAGCTTTCTCTGCCTGATTTTTTTGAGCTCTTCCACAAGATGGGAAAGAAGAATTTTGAAACAAGTTAATGTCATGAAACAGATGCTTTTACACTTGATCTTAGCAGGAAGGCCAAGAATCAGTACACTTTGAATTCTCTAATAATTATTTTGGAAACATATATAAGAGACTAATAAAGGCCTCTTTAAAATCAAATTTTGCAAGCATATCAAAATAATCCAATAGCATGCATTTTCAATACTCCTAATTCAGACAGAAAAAATTTTCACAATTCATCACTACTGCTTGTTTTCAAATAAGACATCCCAACTGATACAAAATGACAAATCAGAATCTTTTCAGCGTTTTACCTAAACAAAGATTGAAATTTTGTCAAAAGTATAGATTCATGGTTCCAAATTAAATATTCACTTCTTAGTATTTAACCTTTTTCTTCAATAGAGAACACATGTCCCAAGGTGTTGGAATAAGCCTCCCCATTAACTACCCTGTCCTCTGCCACCCCACATTGCTATCCATAGCATAGTCACCTTATCTGCACTTGATTGCTCCTGTCTCTGCTGGATGATTTTCATGTATTTCTCTAAAGGATTTTCATCATGAGTTGATTTGTCTTTTGGTTCTTGAATACTTTTTTTCTAATTCTTCTTCCATTTCAATCTTCAGTGATTCTTCAATCATTCTCTAGAAACAGGCCAGTGCCAAAATAGGAAATACATGAACATGTTTTAAAAGCTTCTCAGTGTTTAAAAACCATAGCAGTATGATCCTTATCATGGAAACACAACTTGCATATCATACCGTGCATGCGTGCGTGCGTGCGTGCGTGCGTGCGTGCGTGTGTGTGTGTGTGTGTGTGTGTGTGTATTTAAACCAAACTCATTGCTACTATCAGACAAATATGTCATTTCAAAGAAGGAAGGAACTAACCAGAAGGCCAAGAAACATTTCTAAAACATGTTAAGTAGCCAAAGTAATCCCTCTGCCTAGCACTAAAATCAGAACACGAAAGGCAAGGAGAGGTAGACAGAGAAGTTGTGTGTGCCTAGAAGCCACTGCAGACTGACTAGAATCACCTCCTTGCCTTGGCTCTTCCAGGCTGACTAGCTGGCTGTTAGAATGTGTATACAGAGGGAAGTTACACAACACATGAGAGTACATGTGAATGTCTTTTCAAAACCAAGATGCTCAGAAGGCAAACACAACAAGGAGAGGAGAAGGAATGGCTTTGAAGTCACCTGCTGCTTCTCTGGCCTCACAGCACTACTGGCTCACATCCCTGAGCTCAAGGTACTTGCTGAAGGTGTCCATGGAGAAACTTGTACAGAGATTTAAGTGACACATTACCCGTTCCTGCTCCAGTTTTTCCAGCTCTCTTCTTTCTCTCTCTAGAGCTTCTTCTTGCCATTCACTCTGCCGTTGTTCTTCTCTCTGCCTCTGTTCTCTCATCTGGAGTTCCCATTGCTGTTGTTCTTCCTTTTGCTCTCCAGTTTGGCTCCGATCAGCATCTAACGGGACAGAAAACAGAGTAGCTGCCAGCATCAGACTTTTCACAGCTAGTCTTCTGCAGTCCTGCTTGCTTTTCTGATTCTGATGAGTTACTCTAAACTGTTGCTCTGTTTTTACTGTCTTCCAGCCCAAAAACTGACCCCCAGCAACATACCCAGACTTTTACTTTTCTGAGATGGATATAAGTCACACCACAAACAACCTGAACTGTCCTCCCTCCATCCCATATCCTCTTTACTGATTCAGCCTCTCCATAGAAAATCCTACATTTCTGCCTTCACAATTGAGTGCAATCTCTGTCCTAGCTTCAGAACCATTAGCCCCCATTTCCGCAACAGTTCCAAAACCCTTTCTCCTTACTCCTAAAAAGATGCTCAAGTCATTCCTATCCCACACAGAACAGAACTCCCTCCTCTGCTTCATCCTAGTCCTATCCACCATATGTATGCAATGCCTGAGAAGGCCAGAAGAGGGTGTCAGATACCCTGGCACTGGAGTTACAGATGGCTGTGAGCTGCCATATGGCTGATGGGAATCAAACCTGGATCTTCTGGAAGAGCTGTCAGTACTTTTAACCACTGAGTCATCTCTCTAGCCCCTCCCTAGGGATCATCTTAAAGCCCGGTCATTTCCATATCTTTCTTCATACCCAACCATTCTCCCCAGCCTCACAACCATGTCTTTAATGGGCTTTCTGACAAAGGCATGGAGAAATTCTACAACACTAGCCTCCTCCCAAAGGTATAATGGTTCTTTCATCATCTTTGTCTAGATAGGCCATGGATACACACAACTATACTGCAGTCCAAGTAACAGTTTATCCTATATCCACTGAGCCAGCAGGGCTTATGTGCTGTAAAATTGATCTTGCTGTTACAGGGACAGTTCTTCTGTGAGGTCCTCCTTACCCTCCAATGATACATAAATATACCAGTGAATCACCTGCCAGTAGATTATATTTTCTTTCTAAAACATCATGTGTGCTTATTTTTCCCCATTTCTATTTCTTCTGATCAAGGCCCATTGTCCTAGTTAGTGTTTCTATTGCTGTAAACAACAATAGAAACCATAACCACAGCAACTCTTAATAAAGGAAAACATTTCATTGGAGTGGTTACATGTTCAGAGATTTACTCCATTATCATCATGGTGCAACATGGTAATGTGCAAGCAGACGTGGCGCTGGAGAGGGAGCTGAGAACCCTACATCTTAACCCTCCAGCAACAGGAAGTGAACTGTCACACTGGGTGTGGCCTGAGTATATATGAGACCTCAAAGGCCACCTCCAGGTGGCACATTTCCTCCAACAAGGTCATTCCCACTCCAAAAACGCCACACCTCCTAATAGTGTTGCTCCCTATGAGATTATGGGGGCCAATTACATTCAAACCACTACATCCATGTTTTAATTACGTGTCTGTTCCCTTTTATACTTTGCACAGGTCTCTATCCTTCAAAGGTTTAATTAAGTCTCAGTTTCACAGATGATGATGCTGGCCGTTCTTTTAGTTCTGGTCTATGACCTACATTTTTTCACCCAACAATGCCAATCAGCAACAATCAGGTTCACCAGAGGACTTCAGACTTGTGCCTTATCCCAAATGCTTAGCAGGAATGGAGTTAGCATTACTGACAAGAGAATGGCAGCACAGATCTATGCATCTATCCATGTTTGTCATGAAATTAAAATAGCATTGGCTCACACTTTCATGGGCACAACCACCCTGTCCTCTCCTTGCTGGTGGAGAGGTTACTTCAAATGATTCTATTTTTCCACGGGGAATAGCAGTAACAAAATAGAATGGTTGCTGAGAAAGGAAAAAGGAAGTAGGAGGAGGTGGGAAGAAGAGGAGGAAACAGAGCAAGATGAAAGGGGGAAGGGAAAAGAGAGGAAGTGGCAGCATTATACAGAAACCTTCTTTGGACACAAAAATCAAGATCAGAGCCGGGCGTTGGTGGCACAGGCCTTTAATCCCAGCACTTGGGAAGTAGAGGCAGGCAGATCTCTGTGAGTTCGAGGCTAGCCTGGTCTACAGAGCGAGTTCCAGGACAGGCTCCAAAACAATACAGAGAAACCCTGTCTTGAAAAAAAAATCAAGACCAGAAGCATATGCGTTAGGCACCTCAAGGACACCATATTTTGACCTTTATTTGTGCCTAGATGAAGAGGCAGAGACAAATATATGAGAATTTCTCAAGTGACCAACACATAACCATGTTGCTGATTATTTAAAAAGCCATATCTCAAGGAAGCTACTCACTGATCCCCTTTAGCTATTATTTTGGCTCCCTTCCTCAGGTCTGTGAACATGGCTGCTGTACCTTCTGCCCCTCCTAACAAGGGCATGAGTGGCCTGCTGGACTCCTTCACTGTACCCACACCCTTTCCTCAAGACTCTCCATGAAGGCAGGAGCTTGGTTTGGCTCACTGATTATACCCAGCCCCCTAGGCAAGTGCCTAACAGAGAGAAGGTGCTTGGTTGTGTTTGATTAAATGAGTTACTTTCTGAAGCACACTTACTCAGGAGGAGTATAATCAAAACCACTTGCTCCTTTCAGTAGCTCCTCATCTCCCTGAGGACTGTGGCTTAAACCAAGATACTACTATGAAGAGACTTTGGGTATGTGTGCATGTGTGTGTGTGGGGGGGGTAATGACGGTGCTCCTCTTTGGGCAGCACTAAGAGGCAGCTTTAAGTAACACATTTCCTTTCAAGTTTGAGGCCGGGAAGAAAAGGACCTGGCTGTTGGCTGTGCTGGAACAAAACACAAACTTCCTCTCAGTTCTGCTCTCTGCTCCCTCTTTCACCTGACAGAGAAGGGGATAAGCTGAAGAAGAGAAAGAAGCATTGGCCAGGCAGATGTCTGATGGTCACTTTCCTCCAGTGACAATGTAAAGATACCAACGTTTATGAAGATTGAAATATAATGTTTTTCTATCATAACTGATGACATAAGAGAAGCAAGCAAGACAATAAATCCTAAAATATTGTGATTAAAGATATACAATGGGACTTGATCATTACTTGAGGTTTTACCATAATTTCTAAGAATTGTTCCTTATGGGACAATTTTTGCAGAAGAGGAGTCTTAAGGGAAAAGTGTTACTGTTCTGCCCGACTCTGACCAAGTAAACATTTTTAAAAAGACTTAATGTGAAGTCTTCTTCTCAGAGGTATCCAGTATGTTATTAACAATGATAATACCACAAGGCCAAGTCTCTGAATAATTTATGTTTATGCAATTCCTACAGGGTCAGAGAGATAGCTCAGCAGGTAATGGTATTTGCTACCAAATCCAAGTTTGATCCATGAGAACTGACTCCCACAAGTTATCCTTTGATGTCCACAAATAAACAGAAATAAACAAACAAACAAAAATCCCAAACAAAGAAAAAATTAATGTTGAGCCTGCAGAAATGGCTTGGGGGTTAAAGTGTTTGCTACTCTTCCAGAGAACCAGCATTTGGTTTCCAGAACCCACCACCAGGCAGCCTGTAACTCTAGCTCCAAAGAATGCAATGTCTTCTGACCTCCCACAGCCTTGCACATTCATGTACACATACAGACAAACACCAGTATCCATAATGAATGAAATAGATAAATAAATCTAAGAACAGAAGAGCTTTAGAAATCAGGAAGTAACTTACAGAGGACACAGATCAGGATGCAGCGTGTGGCTACTGTTTACTGCTAGTTTAAGAAAAGAACCACTCACTTGGGCAGTCGTATGAAATTGGTCTGGAATGCACAGCAGCTGCAGCAACATCCATGATAAGCATGTCACCAGCAGGGTGGAGTCCTTCTGCTTCTGGCTTGTTCCCTGTATTCACATGAGGTGCATAATTGTGCATGAGGCCTTAGTAACAGCAGAAAGTGAAGGGAGGGCTATGTAGTGCAGGGGTGGAGGGTGGTAGGGGTTAAGGGGGAACTGGGGATAGATGTAACCATGGAACACCAAAACTGCACTAAAAGCATCTGGTGGCCATTTCCTACAGGGTTCTAAGTCCAAACACTTACAAGGTGCTCAGCTCTCAAAGTTTCTTTCTATTTTAAAGAATTACATTTTTTTTACAAAACTAGATTTATTACTCAACAGAGAATTCATTTGATTTTCAAATAAAATCCTTTGAATTCATGACTGAAAGCCAGTCAACATCCTGGTACAGATGAAGGAGGAGGATGCAAGTTCAATTTCCAGCACCTGGCATACTCATGGAAGATAACAACCATCTGTAACTCCCGTCCCATGGAATTTGATATACTCCTCTGGCCCCTATGGTCACAAGGCACACAGACATACAGGCAGGCAAAATACACCAAAATAAATAAAATCTTTAAAACTGCTTTATGGGTAGGGAGATTGCTTTCCAAGTGGAAGCCCCTGAGTTAGAGCCTCAGACTCCCATGGAAAAAGAGTCATGATAGCAAGTGTACAACCCCAGCATGACTGAAGTGTAATGGAAGACCAAGACAGGAGAATCTCCATTAGTTAATTCACTGACTGTCGTGTGGAACACCAGTATACAACGGGGAATAAACAAGGTGGAAGATGAGGTATGACATCTGCAGTTGTCCTCTGACCTCTATGTAGGTGCCATGGCACATATGTAAACATGTATAAAGATACACACAAAACCTACTATTCAAAGCTTACATCTGAAAGGCGGTTCACACTCCTCATTATCTTTCAAAGATTGCTTGTCCACATTTGAAACTTTGCTTTTGTCTTGAGTTTCAATTTGTCTCTGATAAAAACTGGATTGGAAAAATAAAATACATGAATATGAAGTATTAGTAGCATAAAGAAAATAGGTGACAAAAGTTTTTTGGTTGCTAAAAATAATTTCCAAACCTTTTGATTTTTTTTTAAGACTGGCTCTCTGTGACTGGTCTAGAACTCAACTATGTAGCCCAGAGTGATCTCAAACTTATGGTAATTCTCCTGTCTCAGTCTTCTGAATGTTGAAACTGTAGGCATAAGCAAGCATGCCTGACTCTGAAACTTATTTCACTGGCTTATAAAGAACGACTTTATTTGCTGGAGGATGGTTCAGGAGTTAAGAACACTGGCTACTCTTCCAGAGGGCCTGGTTTCAATTCCCAGCACCCACATGACTTTTCACAACAGTCTGTAACTCCAGTTCTAGGGGATCTGACACTCTCTTCTGGCCTCTGCAGGCACCAGGCACACATGTGGTACACAGACACTTAAGGAGGCAAAATACCCGTACACATTAAGAAATAGTAATAATAATAATGGCTCTAGGCCCCAGTTGTAGAGTACTCGCCCAGCATACATGAGATCCTAGTTTTTGAGACAGTCTATGTAGCCCTGACAGTCCTGAACTCGATATGTAAAACAGGTTGGCCTTCTGCCTCCTGAGTGCTGGGATTAAAAGTGTATGCCACCACACCCAGCCCTCAAAACATATTTTTAAATGACATTTTGACGTGTGAAACTTCTCCAAATTTAAAAATGAGCCAAATTTATTTGTTCTAACAAAATTTATTTACATTTGTCTATCTTTATGAACAAAATACATTCACAGACCTATGAAGATGTCTATTAACACAATTATCACACATTCTCCTTCATAATTCAGGTGACTTTCAAAGATCACAAATGATTTTATAATTAACTATAAATTTCAGACTGCCACATAATCTTTAATATTGCCTTAAAAAGGCCACAGAAGTAAAAGTCAAAACAGTAGTATGAGTCAACAGAAGCTGATGAGAAAATAACTTACCAGGCATTTTTCTCTCGAGCGCTGGACAAAGGACCAGAGAAACTGTGCCTAGATGGAACAGGTGATGGCTGGGCTGTTGTCCTGTCAGGACAAGGACTAGAGGAAGCAACATGTGACCCATCTGCTCTGTCAAGGCAAGGGCTGGAGGAAGCAATGCGTAATCTACCCAGGCCTATGAGGTAGAAGGAATCAGGGCAAGGATGTTACAAGCTGCATAGAGAAGGTATCAAAGTGGTTTTTAAAAAAGCTCTATTAAGCTGAAAATAAATCCTATGGCATTCTTGCAAATAGCCAAGCTTGATAGATAAGATCCACGAAGGAAATGGTTAAATATGATTCAAGCACCAAAATCAAACTATGTTAGTGACATGAAACATACAAAACTAATCAGCAGCAAGACAAAGGCCATGTTGTTCCCTCAATACTTGTGAGTGCTAAGGAAACTCTAGACCTTAATACCCTTTGTGCTGCTGACTTCCACAGCACCCCGTGACATGGGAGGGCTACCAGTGTTGGCCAGCGCATGGCAGGAAGAGAACACCCACCACTGCTAGAGCAGGCTCCCACAGGCTGACTACGGAGTATACTACCTGAGTCAAATGCATCTATGTCACAACCCTCTGGACAGTGACTTACCTTCCAGATACATTTCATTATCAAGGCTTCTTCTCGATTTTGGATGGGGTGTAGAGGAGAGGCGTGTGGAGGAAGAGGTCCTTCGAGGCCGAGAAACCACGCTGCTCATGAATGCTTTGGACACATCACTCTTTTCTTCCTTTAGCATGTCCACAACAGGCTGTTCAGAGACACCTCTGTCCTCTGCAGAAACATGTCTGTCCATGGAACTGGAAGCTCTGCTTCTAGGAACTCCTATCGAGTATGCAGATGAAGGACTCTTTGCTGGCTGAGGACTCACAGTAGGATTCCGAGTAACTCTCCGAAGGTAATTTCTGAACTCCTTTTCCAAGCGCTCAGCCTCTTGCTCTAGCTCTCTTACTTTGGCTTTAGTACTACTGGCTACAAACTCAAGGTCAGAGTCTGGGGAACTAGCCTCTGTCGCTGTATTTGCATAAGGTAGGACCTTTGACATAACTGCACCTGCCATAACCTTGTTCTGCTCAAGGGGCACATTCAAGAAATCCCCACTTGGATCCCCATTGTGAGGCACCATCTTGCCACTCACTAGACCACTTAGGGAATGAAGGGTCAGAGACTGCTTTGGATTTCGGAATACTTCATTCTCTAGGGCTGCAGGTCACAAAAAGAAAATTTGAGAAATGAGAAAAAATTATACTCAAGAATGTTTTTTAAAGTAGTAAGATCAAGATTGCACACTAAACAGTTTCTGAAGCCATAGTCAGAACTATTAACATTTGCTGAAAGCTAACTTCATGTATCAAGTCTTTATAAACATGATATAATTTCACAATCTATTACATATGAGTCTGAAATGCCTGCATCTGAGAAATGAAAATATGTAATGTATTGGGTACAAAGTCTACCCAGATCCAAACTGTAGTAAATCCATTTAATAAATCATTGTTTATTCCAACCAGCATGGATACTCACAGAATTAAGTGCAACACAGTGTCTCCCCACCCCCCAAGCCTGTCAGATAACTTAGCGAGGAATTCTCACTGCTGTCTGTCTGGAGAAGAGATGCTGTCTTCCTGAGGTGGAGACCACATAGTCAGCAATTCCTAGAGCTGCTGAGATTTCTTAGCATAAATCTAGTGTCTGTGCTGTGTCTTAACCTGTAATACCTCCATACGATGCTACAAAGACAAGTGTACAATGGACCAGGTCCATGTGTGTGAACTGCAGAAGGGCCCTAGCTTCACAGGTCTACTTCCATATTACAAAGACTACTATAACTTAAGTGGTGGACAGTCTGGCAAACAATTGTGAGCAGAAAACGAGGAACTGAAGAAGAGTTTAGGAAGGAGTAGAAATAAAACTAGAGGATGTGGAAGGACTGATGAGAAACAGTCCAAGCAGGAGCTGAGCAAGGAGGATCAAGGAAGATCAAGGATGAGAACCAAGCTGAACCGAAAACAAATAAACGCTGGGCCCAAAAGCAACTGAAGAAAGCTTTCAAGCTTTACTAATCTTTCTATGAAGCCAAAGAGATGAGAGACATCCACAGGGAATGCAGAGTAATGAATTATTAGCAGTAACTAGTGCTAGAATGACTTCCATATAGCAGCTCATGCCTGATACCCATTCCATCTTTTCTCATTGTGACCCAATAGGAATCTTCATCCCCATTATAAATGAGGAACTTGAGGAAGTTAAGTGTTATGCCCAAGATCAAATAACTTCAACTGAAAGCCAAAACAAAAACAGGTCTCCAATTCTGAAAGCAATTTCCTTTGCACCCTGCTATCCTGCTTCTCTTATGTATTTATACACAGGTATGCTAAAAACTATATAAAATATGGGAAAACATATTAGTCTTATCAGGGTCATACAAAAAAGAAAGAAGCATTGAGTTGGGGCAACTAAGAAAACTGAAGCTGAAAGGAAGATATACTGACAAGAGAGATAAGCTGGAAAGCAGTAGGGCAGATATGCTCAAGATATACTATACAGCAGGACAATGGGCAGGTAGCTCAGAAGTTAGCTAGCCTGGAATAGGTGGTGCTGCCATCAAAACAAGACACACTGCCTCAGCAAGGTGGAAGGTAGAGAAAGAACCAATCCCTGGTAAGTCTTGTGGCCTCAACCTGAATGCCAGCGTCCTGGTGCTCTACGCGTCGGTTTCTCTCTCTTACACACACATACACACACACACACACAAACACACACACACACACACACACACAAAACACACATACACACACTCGCACACAAACACAATTAATAAGCAATTTATTTTTTAAAAAGCTTCCAACCTGTCTGAGTTTGTTTTAGTTGTGTTTTTAAATCAGCCACCTGAACGGTTAACCTTTTAACAGAAGCATCATATTCCAATATCTGAGTCTTTAACTGTGTAGAATGTTCAATCTGAAAAAAAGAGTCAAAGAAAAAGAAACAAATACAAAACAACTACAGCTTGCTTCAAGAAGAATATTTCTCTTATTGTGTTTATATTCTTTGTTTTGCCAATTTAAAGAAGCTTTTACACCAACAACCAATAGGATGACCTCTATTAAAACAACACCACCCAAACAAGTTTTCTCCAAACAAGTTCTGTTTTTGGGTGTTTTTTTATTGTTGTTTTTGTTTTTTGAGATAGGGCCTCTCTGTGAAGCTTTGGCTGTCCTAAAGCTCACAAAGACACATCTGCCTCTGCCTCCTGAGTACTGGGATTAAATGTGTGTGCACGTCCCCCTCCTTCCCTTTTCATTTTAAGTCTAAAAACAGCTAGCTATTCTACTACACAAAGGCAGAAATTACAGACACACAGTGGATGTGTGTATGCCACAAAGTAAGTATCAAGAGACTCATGGTGGTAATTATCAGCTCCTCTGAGAAGTTCAGGTCTAGATGAATGTACTTTCCATTCAATGCTACTGCTATTAGAAATATAAAGTCAGAATCACCAGAGAATTTTCTCACATGAGAAAGGTTCCTTTGCAACATTGGGGGGAGAAATTATTTGTATTCATATAAATTTGATTTTTGCTAGTGTGATATGTAGAAAGTTTCTTTAACTACTAAAGTGGACTGGCATAGTAGCCACAAGAAGAAAGAACACTACTCACTTCACTCTGCAACTGTTTCTGCAGAGCTTGCCTCTGAGTTTCAAACTCCTTGTGCTCCAGTGTTATAGCATGTTCTGCTTTCTGTAATTCTTTCTGTAAAACCAAAAGCTCAGGAGGTGGCTGAGTTATGCCTAAGAAGGTTTAAGAAAAAAAGAAAAAGAAAAGTATTCCTAGTTACTACCAATCTTAAATTTGCTTATTTCACTTTAAAAAAAGCAGATAGAGATTTAAAATAGTTTCCTTTCTTTTTTCATGCAATTAATATTCTACCACTTCTATTAAATGACCTAAGAACAATTCTGATTCATAAATGTCAAAATAAAATAATTTAATTCATGGCAATACAACTTTATTCCCCCAGGAGCCTTCTAAGTTAAAGAATTCTTTCAAATTCTTAAATTAACTCAATAGCCTATCTCTTTCCTCTACCACATGTAGACAGTATTTTAAGTAAGAGCTCCCTGGGCTGGAGAGATGGCTCAGTGATTAAGCACACCAGCTGGCGGTCTTCACAAGGTCCTGAGTTCAATTCCCAGCAACCATCTGCAATGAGCTCTGGTGCCCTCTTCTGGCCAGAAGGCATACATGCAGACAGAACACTGTATACATAATACATAAATCTTTTTTTAAAAGTAGAAAAAAAAAAGAAAGAACTCCCCAGCTGTCACCTGTCAGTGACTGCCCCTGTTTTCATCCCATCTGAACAGCCCATGGCAATCAGGCTCCACAAATAAGACTGATGGTGCTCTTCATTTGTGTCACCTAAGAGCCCCGTGAATAAAGTGTGCCTTATGTAGGGTAATCATAAAGGATAGTGCAGCAGAAACAGAGTCACAATGTTAGTGATCCCTTACGATTAGGAGGCTTAGGAGAGGGAGACATTTCCAGAAGTACAATGAGTAGGCACAAACCCAGAGCACTAGTGGGAGACCTCCAGCAGGGATTCCGGGTTCTCTTGCCTGAGAGGCACAGTAAGTCCAGACTGCTGTACCTGGAGACCAAAGCTAGGAATAGAAATAACTACAACTTTCAGGGGGTCCAGATCAGCCCCATGCTGGCCTCCCCGCTGTCGGTCTGGGGTCCAAGAGCTCTCCCCTGTTCAGATCAGCTGTCTCTGCTGGTTTTGCCAGCCTATTCTTTGCCAATTTGCTCATTGCTCGTCTCTCTCTGTCACTGGGTTCCTTGGGTTCAGTTCAGTGCTTAATTATGTTTGCCTCTGCTTCTATCAGTCACTGGATGAAGGCTCCCAGATGGTTATAGACATCAAGTTCATTATCAGCAATGGGCATTCGAGGTGGTCTCTCCACTATTGCTTAGCTTGTCAATTGGTGTCATCCCTTTAGATCACTAGAGGTCACTCTGGTGCCTGATCTGTCTTCTAACCTATGATCTGGACCCCTGAATGTGAGTGTCAGTGAAGAGGCCTGGGCAACCTATGGGGCCCTGAGCAGTGGATCAGTGTCTATCCCTGGAATACAAACAGACATCATGTGCCTATAGCACAAAGAGAGATGCTCTCTCAGCCTGGACTCTTAGGAGAGTGCCTGGACCCTGCCCTGAGTGAAATGACAGACTCTAGATATCCCCTATGTGGAAGGAATTGGCAATAGGGTGGGAGGGTGGGGGGATGGCGGGGGTGGGGTGCGGGAGAAGGGGAGGGAGAGGGAACTGGGATTGACATGTAAAACAAGCTATTTAAAATTAAAAGGAAAAAAAAAGAAATAACTACAACTTCAACCTCCTCTCCCTGCCTTGCTCCAAGTGCTTCCTGGCTCAACTGAGGCAACAGTCAGAAGGCATGACCCCGAAGCCACCCACAGAGGCAGCTATTTAACAAACATTACTTAGAATGAAACTACGAAGTAGGCAACAGCAAACAAAAATGAAGCCAGCTCCAATATAAGGATCTTAAAAGATTGTCCCAATGTAAACCCCCCTTACAGATAGGAAGGTATTCTATAATCCTGACCTAATATAAGTTACAGAAACATGCACATCAGAAAAAAGACATACGGTTTAGGAGACGTAAGTTCTCATTCCTATTCTCTTCCAGTTGCTGTTTAAGTAATTTATTTTGTGCCTGAAGCTCCACTTTCTCTTCTTTCAGTAGTGAGTAATCACTCATCTCTTTCACCTTCTCATTCAGCAAGTGGTTTTGTTTTGACATTGCCAAAAACTGGGCTTTGACAGACTCTAGCTCCAGCTAAAATTAAAAAAGGAAAACTTTTATATGAATAACTTTCACAGCACTGCAAAGGTAAAGGCTGGAAGGCTGTCTGAATTTAAACATCATAAATGAATAAATGACAGTGACTACCAGACAGAGGTCAGGCCCTCTGCAGTGGTGATAAGCCAAGCTAAGCTCAGAACCTATATCAATAGACCTTTGTCCTGTGAAGTAAGGAAAGAGTGTATGGTGAATGCAATTTGGAATCAATTCCCAAATGTCACAAATACAACTGCACAACTTAACAAGACATTTAAAAAACATGAACAGATAAAAGGTGGAAACAATCGCTATTGCTGTGAGATGCTTTCCTTTTCTTAGTCTTATATGTCCTATATCTGAATCTGAAAGCCTACACAGATCTCCTGGCTGCACAGGTAAATTCCACCTATAGTATCTACTTCAGTTTGTTTTAGACAGGGTCTCACTTAGCCCTGGTTGACCTGGAACTCAGAGATCTGCTTGCATCCTGGGTGCTAAGATAAAATGTGTGCAGCACTACACCCAGCTACAATCTCCTTAAATTACCTTAAAGTTCTAGTCTTGTACATTACCTGACAAGCAGTATAGTACCAGCGGCATGTAAAAACTTTACCTTACTTTGTCTAAAAAAAATCTGTAAGAGAATAATGTAGTGATAGAAATTTTTAATTGCTACCGATGGAATAGAAGAGGCTAGGATAGAAGCTAAGATATACTGGCCACCTGTTATGGGTAGTTTACCCAACTCACCCAACAATCATGCATTATTAGAAATATCTCCAAGATTACACTCACAGAATTTGCCAAAAGGCACATAAGCAGTAAGGGAGGGAGACATGATTTGAGCAGCAGGATTCTTAGATACAAGCTCTTTTTCTATGTCTCTGTGTGCCTTTGCTTGAAATTAGAACCTACTGAATTATAACTTCAGTTATCACCTTCTTAGTCATAAAGGAATCAGCCCAAGCAAATCAAAAGGAAGGCCTAAGGGGATGGAGAGATAGTTCAGTGTTAAGAGCACTGACTGTTCTTCCAAAGGACCTGGGTTTGATTCCCAGCACCTACATGACAGCTAAGAACGCTCTGTAACTCCAGTTCCAGGGGATCTTATGCCCTCTCCTGCCCTCCACAGGCACTGTACACACAGGCAAAATTCCCATAAACATGAAATAAATAAATCTCAAAACACCCCAATGTTCTTTGTAAATAAAAATAGTAATTCTAACACCATTAAGAAAACTTAAAAAATGGGTTTAACAATTACCTCAACTTCTTTTATACGATTTACAGATTTACTGAGTTCCTCCTTTTTGGAATTAATAACTGTGAGCTCCTCTTGCAAATGAATAGTTTTTTCTAGAGAATAAAAAAGAACCAATTAAATAGTGATTTCATACTGAACATAAAAGACATTTAATATTTAATAACTTATGGTCATTCTACGAGACCTAATCACCATTGTTTCATAGTCTAAATCAACAAGTATAAGTCAAAAGCTGAGTGAGCAAATAAGGCCCATTACCCAATGTGTGACAAATTACACATGTCATATATGTGGTGGAATTCCTAGTACATGCAAACCAGTTATTCCATCTGGGAAGGACATGGGCCTACTAACAGAACCTACTTTCCTTAAAAAGCAAAGATGTCTGTTTTTCTTCTGTAGTTTTTCCATCGTGTAACACGAGTCTATGCAGATAATATCAGAAGAAAATTTAATAAACTTAATTACACGATAGTGCTAAACTACAAGAGATGCAACTGCTTCTGTAAGACATGAGCAAAAGGAGCCACATAGTTGGTATCTAGTCAATAGCAAGTAAGCAGCTCCAGTTTACTTCAAAAAATGTTTGAAATTTCCACAGTTCACATTCTTTTCACAATTTCCTACAAATATATTAAAATGTAAAATATCTGAAAACTGAAAACTTACTCCACTTCAGTGTCTCAGGTCAATATAAACTAGAGAGCTTAGCAAGTGTAAAGACATGTAAGAAAAAAGAACTCTGAAACCTGGTCACAGAGGACAAAGAAAGTAAACTTTTCTATAATGGGGCTGGAGAGATGGCTCAGTGGTTAAGAGTACTGGCTGCTCTTCCAGAAGACCTGGGCTCATTTCCCAGGACCCACCTTGCAGTTAATAACTGTAACTCCAGCTCCAGGGGATGTCTCTCTCTATTGGCCTCCACAAGCACTGCATACGCACAACATACAGGCATACATGCAGGAAAAACACCCACACACAAAAGAAAAATAAATGAAAAGCCAGTGAAATGGACTAGTGGCTAAAAACCCTTGCTGCTAAGTCTGACAATCCAATTTCAGTGCTAGGGACTCACAGGGTAGAAGGAAGAAACCAAGTCCCATAAGTCCTCTGACCTTCGCACGTATACCATAGCACACACACCCCTCCCTCTGACAAATAATATGTAAATAAATACAGTGAAGCCTGTATTTAAGAATACACAATAGATGCAACTTAGGAGGCAACTTAGTAACCTGTATCAGAATTCAAATAAGGCAGCCACTCATATCACCTTTATTCTTCCTTTCTTCTTCCATTAGTTTGTTTGTTCTAGCAATGTAGTCATCCTTTAGTTCCAGTTGGTATCTGAGAATCAGAATGACTAAAATGAGGTTCTTGCCATCTCCCTCAAAAAGACCACTAACCCTAAGGACCTTATTTGTGGCCCAGCATACCTAAGAGTGCCAACACAGCTGAGGAGAAACTTCCAAGTCTCTGTTCTAAGGCCACGCAACTGAATTCTAAACATCAAAGGTCCAGCAGAACCCTGCCTCCAACACCTATAAATGTGGCCCCAAAGATCAATCACTCAAAATGAAGGGTTTTATCATAGGGTTCCTGAAAACAACTACTTCTCCATTGGTCTCAACTGGTACAGAGAGCATTAAAGGAAACAAAGCAAAGCTTAGCTAGCACACAACACATTCTCTGTCCCAGAGACGGCAAGGCAGTCACTTATAATCTGCCTGCACAATCTCCCAAACCTCAGCCAGGTAAGAACTTTTATGTACAATTGATAGCCTACTGTTATTTTATCCACAGAGATGTTTCCATGGAATTTTACTTTTTTTTCAGTTATCACTAGTCAGAGATGGGTGAAAAAAAGACAAACCCTCCTGAGATTAACATTCTACCTTAAGTAATTTGTAAATTGTTACTGACATTCATCTCAGTGGCAGCATGAGAAAGATGAATAAAGTGATTAGAATTCCAATTTTACAGCTAGTCTGCTACACAAGCTAAGCAAGTCATATGATGTCCTAAAGTCAAAGGCAATAAATATACAATATAATATATATTTACATATGTAAAGTTAAAGTAAATCTCAATCCTTCACAGTCAGAAAAGCTATGAATAAGGGCAGCTGATGTAATTCTCTATACCGGATACTTTAAAAGCCATCTTAATTCAAGTATTCATCCAAATTCATAGAAAATAGTTTTTGTTCAAGCACTAAGCTTTGTCACGTAAATATTAGCTTTATATGAATCATCAGTTTTGGTCACATTTTCACCAACTTAATTCAAACATATTACTTCTTTAAAACTGCCAAAACAATTACTTTAAAAGTTCAGTTTTGAGCTTCTGATCATAGGTCTCCTCAATGTTCTTTAGATTCTGTTCCCATCTCTGAAGTGCCTCAACCTCACTTTTATTCTTTTCTTCTTGGAGCTTCTGGGTCCTGAAATGAACAACAACAAAAAATATAAAATAGACAAAGTACAATATTTAAGGTAACAAATTAGAAGAAAAATGTTTGCAGGACAAACAGGCTGAAATGTATATAACTGTACTAATAGGAAGTGAAAGAGACCAAAGTCTTTCTAGATTTTACAAATTGACCTAGTTACTGTATGTCAGAACTAGGGAGGGAGCAGGACAGGGGCTTAAAGAAGCAAGAAGGAGTCAAGGCCAAAGCAGTTTCTTATAGGAGCTAATTTCCACTTAAAAACTGGCTAGGAGGGCAGTGTAGAGGAACTGGCCGCCAAGCTGAGTTCCATCCCCAAGGACCCACATGGTAAAGGAGAGAACTGCCCTCCATGTGTGCACTGCCGCGGCACACATTCACGTCACACATCAATAGATTGATTTGAAGGTCAAACATGCAAACTGCTTACGTCATGACCACAGAGCCCACACCTATAATCCCAGCACTAGACAGGCAGAAGCAGAAGGATCATTGCAAGTTCAAGGCCAGCCTGGTCTACATAGTGAGTTTCAGGTTAGCCAGGGTTAAAAAAATGAGACTATATTTCAAACTAAAAAAAACCAAAAATCTAGTTAAAGACAGTAAGTGGTGATAATTTAGAGGTGAATAATTATGTTAAAAAACACAAACAAAAGTTATCTTATATATGCAACTGTTTTTTTTTATAACACCTATTACAACTGTTGGATCTAATTTACTAACCCATAGATACTAAAGGTTGAAGATCTGCTTTCAACACTTAATCTATTGATTAAACCCTGAAGAGAGGGGCTGGAGGAAGGGAGTTAAGGAAAGGAGGGACATTGGGAGGTGGGGAAAGTCATATCCTTGCTACACATTTACTCAACAAGGTCTTCTTAGTGAGACTGGATGAGCAGTACTAGCAGTTCTCCACTTTCCAGCTGCTGCAGAGAGCAAGCCATTCTGAGAATACCCAAAGCTCACTGGTCCAAGAACTGGATAAAAGCTCCCTCTGCTGGATAACCTGGAAAGTACATTCAATTGACCTGAACGCTTAGGAGGGCAGAGCAGAAGTGAAGGTAAAATGTTGAGTAGAGAAGAAATCAAATGATATGGGCCTACAGAAGTAAGAAAACACCACCAATGAAGACAGTGACAATGTCTTTAATGTACTAGACTCCTAGAATACCTACTGAATGCTAACAGCTGATTCTAATTAGGAAAAAAGGTTATATGCAAATACTACAGATGGTGAACTTGCTAGCAGTCCCAGGCAAAAGCTGAAGGATGAAGCATTCTGAGCACTTAGAAAAAGTTAAGTAGCACCCCCGCCCCCATCACGAGAAATGTTTCCATGACAAGCCAAGTTAGACCAGATCTCCTTACTGGATTACAAAGTAGGTAAATGGAGCAGGCCAGGATGCCTGGAATTCATATATATATGAAACCATGAGGTCTGCTAACAGAAGGTAGCATACAATCTGTTGAATGAAGCATTAGGAGTACCTCCAAGTTGTCTAGCCTCAAGGCAGGCAGAAATATTTCATCATGGTACCCAACTTGTTATCTATGTTTACAAGGAAAACTCCAAGCTCCCTTCCCCACAGGGTGTACCTTCTAAATCAGTTGATGTCACCTTCACAGCCAGGAACTTTCCCTCAAAAGTTTGTTTTGTTTTGTTATTAGGCAGGGCATTAACACCATGAGAAATAGCTCCATCCATGACAAGTCAAGCCAGACTATTGTATTTCCTTTTTTTGAACATAGCGCAGGTAAATGTAGCAGGTCTGAAAACCTAATTCAAGTATCCAGGCTGGCCTAAAACTCACCATGGAGCTTGAGCTGGTCTCAAACTCATGAAAATTATCCTGTCTTACCCTTCCAAAGTGCTGGGATTACAGACATACACTATCATACTAGGCTTCTATTTGGCTGGGAAGATGGCTCAGTAAATAACGTGCTTGCTAAGCAAGCATGGGGACCTGAATTCTGATCCCCAAGACCCATATAAAAGCCAGGCATGGTAGGGGAGATAAAAGAAATACATGGATGCATAGAGCTTGCTGTCCAGCCAATCTAGTCAATCAATGAGCTTCAGGCCAACCAATGAAAGATCCTGTAAAAGATAAGTTGGTGAATGGTAAAGATGACTGACACTGACTTCTGACCTTTTCAGGCATATATGGGTCAATGCACCTGCATATACCCATGCAAACACCTCTCCCTCCCCCCCTCTCTTGGAAAAGGCTAGAAAATTTAGACATGTATTACTTACAATTCAAATGCTTCGATTCTTTCCTTCAGCTCTGCTTCTCTACCTCTAAGCAAATCTATGTCATTTAGTAGAAGTTGTCTTTGAGCATAAATTTCTTTCGTTTCAATCTGCATAGGGAAGTACTTATTTTTAGTAAGCAAGAAAGTAAAATAAAATAAAAACACTGGAAGTCAGATGTTGCTTCCTAAATTCTAGAGCACAATGAAAATTACAAATAATTAGGGTAACAATTTCTCTTTGCAGAAATTTCAATCAAGATTTGCTTTTTAAATCCACATTATAGTTGCAATGAATGGTAAACTACACTGTGCCTAACAACCTTAGTCTAGTTCTTTAACACCCCTCGTATTCCCTTACTCAAAAATTTGATAAGTTCTTCAGCAGGAAAACTTTAAACATGTATAGTTGGTAATGAATAGAATCTCCATGGTGATTGAAGATGGTACCTAGATGTTTCAGTTAGCGGATGCACGTGAACTCCCCGAGTGAATGGGCTGGGCCATCCCATCATGGAACAGAAAAGTTGTCACAATTTGGTTGAGGGAGAGAGAACCAATCTCATGAAGATGTAAATCTCACAACTGAAGTATATAAAGGCCACATGTAGGAACAATACCTGTATGGGTCACTCAGTGAGTTGGGGAAGAAGTCACTAATGTGACATGAATCTGGGTCTGTGAGTCAACAGCACAGCCTTAACAGGGAGAGATGTGGACAAGCATCCAAAGGCATGGTATCACTGACTAGAACGGCAATCTTCAACACTTTCATGTACTATTGACTAACTAGGGATCTAGTCCGTCACCTTATGTTGAAGATAAAGTTGTCAATCTAAACATAACCCAGTATTTTAAACATCTATGCTTATTCTTATAGATGACAGTAGTCCATTTCCCAGATTAAGCTAGACACACAGTAGTAGTATTTAATGCTGGATAACAGGTCTTACTGAAAAGCCTGAGCAAGGATGAACTCTAGGGGAAACACTCCTATTTTGAATACTTTCTGACAACTGTTCTGGATGCACACTGAAAAGAGTACTGCAAGTCCTGTTTGGCTGAAGCCATGCTCTTAGCAAACAGGTTTTCCTGAAGGAAATCTATGCCCGAAATGTGACTGGGCTACTCTGAACACAGCCGCTCAGACCGTACTCCTGGACCACTGACACTGCCATGTATCCTTATTTCCCCCAGGATTGGGGTCACTCACCTTCTTCCCTGCTTCTCTCTGCCCTCTTAACCCCCTAGCAGAGCCCCAAGGTCTTTAGTCTTGAGGTTGCCTTTCTCAAATTAAATTAAGCTTGGCAAAACAACATTCTTCAACCACTGCTACTGTTCCACCCTCATGGAAAGGGGCGAACAGATCGATCAGAAATTATCAACCCTCCCCAAAGCCAGATCAGAAACCTCTTGTCCAAACACATGGTTTGGTCTTTCACTTTTAGGCTACTGCCTAAGCTGAGTATTAATCCTCTCTGCTTTAAAGAGCTGCTCCCCGTCGTCCATAGCAACTATTTACCTCCAGTTTCTCCTAAAGCCATCTCTCTCCAATTTTCCTGACAAGATAGATGCTGTTTGCTGAGTGTCCCCTAATCCCAGCATGGACATTCACTCCATTTCTTTCTTTTCTGCATCGCAGAGCAAAGACTAGATGAGCTTGTGTGAACTCAGCCTTCTCTTTGCACTCTTGACTACAATTCTAACTAACTGTTCCTCTAGAGTTGTCCTTGCTGGGTCTTAAACGAAGCCACCAACAGCAGCAGGACAGAGCCACCCAGTATATCATTCCCAGAGTATTACCTCTCTGTGCTTTTTAATTCTTTCCAGGGTGTTCTTTTCCTGAGAAATGAGGGCTTCATTTTTTGCTTGACAAATTCTTTCAAATTCATTCCGGAACTCAGCCAATTCCTTTTCATACTTTCTTTTCTCTTCCATCTGAACTTTTGTTATTTCAGCTTCTCTAAAATACTTCAACTATGAATTGAGTACAAAAACTGAAAATAGTTTCTTAAAAATAGTACAAATTCACTCATTAGTTTAATAATAATGTTTTGTCCAAATCCATCTTTAATCCATCTCTGGTTTTAATCTTCTTTATTGTACTATAGGATTCAGTCAAAAGTGTGAACAGATGCCATCAACAGTGATCTAAACATGTGCGCATCAGGCTAGTACTGCATTGTTTAATTCAAAAGTTTTAGGTGTTTCCCCACATAGCTAAGATTAAGTCAGTAGAAGATAAGTGGGAGTAGCTCTCATTGGCAGGAGAAAGAACTACAGCTTACCTTTTGACACATTTCTACCTGAAGCTGCTGTTGTATTTCTTTCTTATATTCATTTAACTTTGTCTCTAAAGATTCTAGCTTGGGACGGTGAGGAAAGGCATCTGCAAATTCATCATCAATAAGCTGAAGCTTCTCAGCTATTAAAAAAACAACACAGCCAATTAGGAAATATAAAAGAGGCCCAAAGCAGACTATACTAAAAGGGAAGTATAGAGATATCTGCTACCTACTTTGAAATACATTTAAAAACTAAGATAGATAAATGATAAACAAGTATAATACAAATTTTACAGCAGCATTTATATAAGCAAATATTCCCTGTAACATTGTTCTAACTGTTCTGCATGTTTGGAAATGTCAATAATAAATTGACGAGTACAAATCAATCTCTTCTCAGTTTCTAAGTACAGAGACTTTTGGACTTGGATTAAAGTTGACACATGTTCAAAACAAGGACTTTAAAAGTATAAAAACTATGTACTTTAACTCTTGCATTCTACAGAAAAGGAACAAATGACCACAGAGTTTGAATGACTTCCAAAGGGTTAAGCAACTATAACACAACCAAGCCCAACTCAAGTCCTGACGACTTTCTCATGCCAGATATCTTCCCAGGAGGCCCTTAGCCCTCAAACCAACCAGATTTGCCAAATCAACCATGAAGCAGAGGGTAAACGTAAATATGGAGTACAATCCCATGCACATCAGCACACATGGGAAGAAAGGGATAGCAGGAGTAGATTAAAATAGTGAGTGTTTGCGACAGTCATAATTGTGAGCATGTTTTTCCAGCCACTTCATTCATTTTCCAATAAGCCACAACCACAGAGTCTGACACAGGACTTTCTAGCCACATGTGGTCACTAAGTATTTGAAATGAGATAAATTTGAATTGAGATGTATTTTAGTGAAAATAACACACTAGATTTCCAGGAACTGCTACAAAAAATGTATGTGAAGTATCTCATTAATAATTTTATACTGAGTACTTGCTAAATATCTTGAATGTTTGGGGTTAAATAATTAAAATGAATTTCATCTGTTTCATTTCATCTTTTTAAATGTAACTACTAGAAAATTCAAAATTATCTGCTTTGTGTTACTGGAAAGCTCTCCTTTGCAATTAACACATAATATTTTGCTAATGGTATTAAAACTATACTTAAGGTACCAGTTGTAGAATATACCTTTGTAAATGATGAATTCCTTATCATCCTACAAATTAGAGGCACTACTAAGTGAGGATGAGCCAAAAAGTTGGGTAAGTATATCAGTATAAGTAACTGCTTTCCATCTCTTTTGACACAAAACCAAAAAATAGTGTCTGGTTTGCTTTCTATAGCGGTGACAATCACCATGAGCAAAAGCAACTAGAGAAGAAAAAGCTTTATTTTCAGCTTTTACTCTAGATCACAGTACATTACTGAGGGAAGTTAGGCAGAAACTCCAGCAGGAACTCAAACAGAAACACAAAAGCAAGGCTTACTGCCTAGTTTCCTAGCTCATAATACTAGCTTTTCTAGAGAGCTCAAGACTTCTTCCTAGGTGACAGTGCTGCCCACAGCAGGCAGGGCCCTTGGACAATTCTCCACAGACATACCCATAGTCCAATCTGATGGAGGCAACTGTTCAACTGCAGCTCTTTCTTTCAAGGCAACTCTAGGTTGTGTCAAGTTGGCAATAAAAACTGGCCAGCACAGGTAGGAGGAGGCTACTATAGAAAGGTGCAGAGTGCAAAATCTCTAGGCCTTGAACTCTACCCAAAAAGGAGTTCCCAAGTTGCTCTCCCCTCTGAAGACCTCAGTTTCAACTATTGAGTGAAATGATGAGACAATGACTTCTCTCTTTGCAAAGTGAACAGATTGTAACATACTATGGTGATTTGGACAGGAATTCCTCCCAGCCCATAGGCTCATATATTTGAATGCTTAGTCACCAGGGAGTGGCATTATTTGAAAGGATTAGGAGGTGTGGCCTTGTTGGAGTAGGAGTGTCTTAGCTGGAGGAAGTATGTCTTGGGAGGGGGGCTTTGAGGTTTCAAAAGCCCAAGCCAGACCCAGTGAGTGGATCTCTCTCTCCCTGCTGCCTGTGGATCTGGACCCAGAACTCTCAGCTAGTTCTCCAACACCATGTCTGCCTGTGTGCCACCATATTCCCTGCCATGATGACAATGGACCTCTGAAACTGTAAGCAGATGGGGAAGTCCTGTGTATATGTCAATAAAGCACTGTTGCCCAATAGGGAAGCAAGATAGTTGAGACTAGGAGTGGAGGAGGACTCTGGGTAGGAGAAACACAGGGAGTTGTCATGTAGCCCGCCAGAGAAGTAAGATGTCCGTCCGGTAAGAGAAATACTTAGATGGGTTAAATACTTAAGTCAGAGCTATTCAGTAAGAAACAAGCAAGGCCAACAGCTTCATAATTAAAAGTGTCCTGTGTGTTCATTTGGGGACTGCAATGTGGCAGAGCCCAGGCGACTGGTGGGGAAAAATCAAAGCAGCTGGCAAGGAAAAGGCTTCTCTCTACAGTAAGCCAGCCCCAATTAAATGCATTTCTTCACAATAACAGAACACTGGCCAAGACACTAATTCAATGGCTAAAAAATAAGTTTAGAGAAGACATGAGATGAATTTCCTAGGTAAAAGAGGTTAAACTCCACAAGTAAGAAGAATTGGCATGCCAGCATGACTGGCCAGTATAGCCATGGCACTCAGAAGGATAGATTATGACTGGAAAACAATTCCTGGTCCAGCAACACAATTCCAGAAAAATGAATTTCCTTGTCACCTACACACAGGTAGCATTTTTCCAGATGAGGGAAAAATCACATAGTATGATAAACACGTTAATTTTCTTCTTCCAAAAATAAAACAGGGCCAAGTGATGTGGTACACATCTGTAAATACCAGCATCCAGAGGAGGGAGAAGCAGTACAATCTAAAGTTTGAGGCCAGCTCTGTCTATACAGTGAGTTCAAATCTAGCCAGGGCTATATAGTGAGACCCTGTTTGAAAAATAATAAGCAAAAACAAAATAATAACAAGATACCTAGCAGAATTGAAGTGAGAAGGCTATAATTACCTAGGGACACCTTGCCAGGAAACGTGGCACTTGTCTGTGTTTCCATATCACAACTCTCTTTAGCTTGATGATATTCTGCCAGTTCCTTTAAGAAACTCATAAGAAAACCTATAAAAACATAACATACATAGTTTTGTTTCAGAACATCATTCAACCATTGCTTTATTGCTGTTTATGAGTCTTGGTTTATAACATCATTTGATTACCAGGGAGAGGTCTTTCAAGGATGAGATACACCTTAAAAGGAATACAGGTTGCAATTACCACAAAAATTATAAATTTATATATGGCATAAGATAAAGTCAAATGACATATGATATATTGGAAAGATTCTGTAATACCAGACAGGTTCATCATAATGTCAAAGAACTCTTAACTAATCAGTAAACAAAAAAATAGGAAAAGACATGGACAAAGTTCACAGGAAGAAAATTTAAATGGAAAATAAAAACCTTTTAAATGTTAAATGCACAGAAACCTATAAATGCAAATTAGTAACATAAAAGAGAGACCACATTTTCTGCATAGCATTGCTAAGATTAAATCACCGACGTCAAGGGAATCTAAGAGAGCAATTTGTCACTGTCTCTATACATTTCAAATGTACATTATTTTAACCTAGTCATTTTGAGTTTATACTGCTGTACTAACTTTCAATAAGGGCACAAAATGTGCATCATGCACGCTTACTGCTTCTCATAGCAAAAAGCAAACAACAACTAAGTTTCCATCAATAGAGAGTAAAATATGTTCTTTAAAAATGGTATGAACAGTTGAAATACTCCTGTTTCATCAGCCAAGTTACAATCTTTTATCACTCTCTACTAAAGATATTAAAATTCTACTCCTACAATTGTACATAAGCAAACTCATATTGAACCCTCATGACTTCCTCTTACAAACACATCACTTCACCCCCTATCTAATAATCACATACAAACTACCTAAACTCTCAGTCATAATGAGAGTCAGTTCTCTTTCCACCATGTAGATGCTAGGGATGGAACACAGCAACTTAGATTTGGCAACAGGCACCTTTATGAGCTGAGCCATCTCAATGGCCCAAATTCCCATTCTAAGAGTAAGAAAGTTGGCTTTTACTATCTACTACCTATAGACTTAACTGCAATTTCACAATTATTACTAAGTCCTCCTATATAAGTAACTATCACCTACAGTACAGTCCAATTCCTTCAGCTGCTAGGCTCCACTATTACAGAGTTAGGAAGCTCAGCACTCTCCAAGACCAAGTGAGAACATGACAGTAACACTGTTTGGCCACAATCTACATTCCATCCAGAGATCATCTAATATCCTCAATTTCAATTGTACTACTCCTTATACTGATTTTTTTTTTGCCAAAATTAACAAAATGGCTAGCAAAGAGCTCTATCCAAATTTTGGTATTTGGATGCTTAACACAACTGCTACTCAGTTTCTCTGACTACCAGAAATGTTACCAGATTATGATGGTAACAGCTGTTAAATCAGATATTTTCTGAACCAGAAGTATTTACGTAGATTATGGTAGAATTATAGGCAACATCTTTTAAAGATAATATAAATATCTATAGTAAGGTAGATTGTTTCCAAATATTGCTTCAAGATCTAAATTTCCTTCTCAATATTTTGGCAACATCTATTAGTGGCACAATTTAGGCCAGTGTGTTCTAATATATCAGCCATGTGGGCAACTGAATTTAAATTCAACCAAAGCCAAGTTCACTATTCAGTCAAAGTAGCCCCATTTCAAGTAACTCATAAACTTAGTGGCCAGCACATGAGACAGCAGAAATAGGCATCTCCTTCAAAACCAGAGTTACACTAAATAGCACACTGCCTTGGAGTTCAGAATATAGAGTTTATCTATTCATTTACTTAGCAGTATGAAATACAAGTTTATTTTGTATAATAATTCACTTGTATTTAGACTGCCCAACACTATTTTGTAATACAAACTGATCCAGCTATACCCTTTGGGAGCTGTTTCACTCTGGAATTTAGGGTCAGTTGCCATAATGAAATTCAGTAGGGATGATCTATGTTGCAGGAAGCATAGAACATCATGTAAGCCAATTTACTTACTCACTGCAAACATCACTTCCAAGAGACCTGGCAATTAAGTCAAAGACTAATGGCCAGTTGAAAGTAGACACGCAAATATTTGCTAATTAAGTTCCAAGCTTACGAACATCCTAGCAGGGATGGCAAGACAAAAATCCAAACACAAAAGGACCACTGTGACATGTCATAGACTACTTAAAAAGGCCAAAAGATTACCTATCAGTGGCAGCTACGTTGTCAGTTTATATTCAAGACACAAAGTCCATTGCCAAGTCTAAAGCATAGTCTGGCAACTTTAGTAACAATATACAATATGAAAGGCCAGGGTTGAGGTAATTTATCAAGAATATATAAAACTTAACTTATAAAAAGTATAGATATTTTAAAGAAACTACGAATACATTTAACACTTCATAAATTATCTTTGAGAAACATATCTAATCTACAAAAATATTCAGCTTATGTTACTAGTTTTTTTTTCCCATGGGAAGGAGAGCTACTGTGTAAATGTTCTAAACAGTATGTATTCTGTCAAGAGTATTTTCATTTGATAGTTGGGCTCTTGACTACTGTCTGCAGTGTCCTTACTTAAATATGTAAGATTTATTAAGAACATAGAAATATGTGGGGAAATAAGGTATTTTTGTCAAAATAATAGGAACAGTTGCTTATTTAAAAGCAAGCCATGGTGAGCAAGGAAAATCAATGTTTTAATTCTAATTAAATTTCCTATTCTTCTCCCTGATAACCACAAGCTTTGTATTTTTGTAAGAAAAAGCAAATAAAAAGATCTTGTTATTCTCCACAAAGAGAAGTCTCCTACCTTTTTGGTTTTCTTTATCAAATCCTGAAATCTGTTAAAAGAAAATATTTTACTTTCATTAAATTACCCATTTATAAGTAGAAAATCAAAGTAGACCATAAAAACAATCTTACCAGTGATTTGTAAAGGCTGGATGAAGGGTTGATTCTAATGAGCTGTAATAGATCCTGCATAGTAAATACCTTCAAGAGAGGGGGGAAAGTTAAGCATCCAAATCTGTATACCAATAAGCTCAAATAATTATGATATACTACTGAACATAAAATTAAAACTCATTTTAAATTTAAAATAATATTATAATTAACTTAATAGTGCAAAAATAAAGCTTTTATGTTGTCAATAAGTTACAATAAATATGTTGAGGTCAGAAGGATCAAATAATTTGCTTTTTAAATTACATTAATTTATTTTTGTGTGTACTGGGAGGACATGAACATGTTATGGTGTATATGTGGAGATCAGAGGACAATTTGCAGGATTTAGTTCAATCCTTCCACCATGTGTGACCTAGAACTTTAACTCAAAACTTCAAACCTTAGTAGCAAGTGCCTTTACCTGCTGAGTCATCTTGCCTGTCCAGATAAAATATTTTTAATCAAGTAATTAACCTCCCAATACAAACAGGAATGAAAGAAATTATTAATGCTTTACAGATAACATTTGGCTATCTGGTGAACCAGTGGATTTAAGAATGAATTTCAGGGTCCTTACAGTTATTTAAAAAAGTCAATAAATGCCAGGCTTTATTAGTCTCCAACTATGAATGACTACTGTGTGCCTGAAATATTTTTAATCACACAGCTATCCTTGACACACATATTTCTACTAACGTGTGTGTTGTGTACTAGCTCTATCCTTAGTACACTGATACAATGTATTCTCAAGTAGTTTCCCTTTAAATAAAAAGTACTGATTGGCATTTACGTTATTAGAAACTATTAATGATATGAAGGGGTCTTTGCAGGTGTCATACAGGGAAGCAAACTGCACGAAGAGATAGGAATGAAAACTTGGTATTCATTGATTTCATTAACCTGGATCACACTTCAATAATCTAATAACATAATTTATTCCCAATGTACTTAAGCCCAGTATAATCTGGAAAGAATTTTCCTGGTGTGATACAATCTCTGGTGCAAAGGAAGCGTAATTACATTAAAACTCAACTCAGGATACATGTCATTTCTCCAAGAAGAGGAGTTCTAGAGATACACTACTTGTACTAGCCATAAGGGCCTACTGATCTGGCCTGGTCTCTACAGACTTATTGTAGGAACTTGATATGGCCTGGTCCAACATCCAACAGATAACGCAGGATCACCTGGCTGTTAATCACTTCTAATTCTCGGCTTTCTTGATGGAAGAACAGGTTTTTCATTTTTCCAATTGGAAAGACAATCCTGTGGGCTTAACATTCCTGTTTTCTCTGGAAGTCAGGGGGCTCAAGGGCCTTCGTGCTATGCCCCCAACATATTACTATAGTATTACACAGTAATCAAATTGTAAAATGTGCCTTTAGAAAGAAGATAAGCTAAAAATGAATTCATGTTTTAAGACAGGGTCTCAATATGTATATGTGGTTGGCCTGAACTCACCAAGCTGGCCTAAAACTTGGAATTCTCAAGTCTGTCTAGAGCTGAGATTACAGATGTACAGCCCCATACCTAGCTTAAGCAATAAATTATGCTGACAAGTTGAATATAGTTGTTAATAAAGCATAGCATGTTTAAAGTTCAACCTTCCATCAGAATACTGACATTGTTCTTATGTCTTAAAACTTTTAAAAAATTACAAAACAACAAACAAAAGCAAAAGCACACAGATACAACACCAGGAATGTATCCTAATGTAAAAAATAGACTCAACTGACAATTAAATGCCAATTTGGAAAAATGGACTACAGCCAATATATCCCTGGATCAAAAATACTGATAGTATAGGACTCTGAAGGAAGGATAGAGAATATATGAAAACTATTTTGCACTCAATTCTGCTACAAACCTAAAACTATTCCAAATCCAGAATTCTATAAGTTCTGAGAATGTTTGTTAAATTGGACTGTAAATAATTAATAAAATGTGACTATTATGTTCAATGGTGGCAAGAACTAGTTAAAATCATTAGAGTGATAAACCGTACGACATGTGCTTTCATAGTTGGGAACTTTATAGATTTTCCTAAGTTGTGTATTTTGTACTTCACTTATGTAACTACAAAGCAGAGAAACACCTGTAGCAATCTAAATGAAGCACATATTAGAAATCAAGATGTTCTATCCTGCAATGCTATTTAAAAGCTACTTACCTTTGATATATCACTTCACCAATCTACAATCTGAGTCGTCATTTGCAACACATGTGCTCCCTATAGTGTACCCAACACAGTACCAGTTTCACCGTCAACATTGCAAAAATGGCAGTTACCAGTCTAAACCACATGGACTGTAACATCACTTTAGCTCTAAAACATTTAGTGATTTCACACGTCACTATTTTACAAAAGACTGAAAAGCGCTAACAACAGTCATATTCGGTACTAATTTGTTATCTAACAGATTTGTGCAGGGATGATAGGAATCAAAGATGAACAAAATAATGAACCTAGTCACTCAAGGGACAAGCAGAGTAATATGTACCACTTCCCAGTTATTAGAGGAAGAAACTGTCAAAAGAAATTTTAAAACTATCAGAATTTACCTTCTCTTTTGCCAAACCACTTTCTGGGAAGAAAACAGAAAGTGAATATTCATAGCCACATCTTTGTAAGTGATCTGCCACCAGAGAGTTAGAAGCACCTATTAGGAGGGCACTGCCTTCCACTGGAATGGATGGAGGCTTCACTTCCCCACTCAACACAGGATGCATCAATTCATGAATTAGCTGATTTCGGAGTTGTGTCTAGAAGCAGATACATTACACATTCATAATAGAAAAAAAGCACACATCTGTCATATTAATTGAACCCTTTCATTTTCAAAATGACTCCAGATCCACGGGCAGAAGGTAGAAAGCACCTCCTTCACAATTTGTCTTATCCCTCAGTGGACTTGGGCAAAACTTTCTTTCCCCAGCTCCCACACCCACTGTCCACAGACCATAACTTGACTTCTCTAAAAGCAATTTCAGCTGCTTATCATCAGGAAATCAAACCAAGGGGAAAATTCTGCCACTTCATCCCAAATGTGGATTGTGGCAATGCATTCAAATAAACTGGGAAATTCAAGGGCATTCTGGGCTCTATAAATAGTTCAAGGCTATTCTGGGCTACAAAGACCCTATCTCAATAAAAAGTAGTTAAAAGTACCTGTTATACAATCATGAGGATTGGAATTTAGATCCTAGTACTTGTGTAACATGCCACCTGGGTGCCCTCGCAACACAAGGGATTAGACAGCCTGTTCTGGCCTGCCTGCACATACAAGCACACACACACCTACATATGTGCACACAAAATTATGATAGCTAACTTTGAGAAAATGGCAATCTGCCCTGCCTTTCATCTAGTTGGGCTAATAAGAGTCTGAATAGCCAACCGTGCTATAGCTGTGAAGTGAACAAGGTTTGCACAAAAAGGCTACAGATAAAGATATTCATTGGTCAATACCAAATAAAACTGAGATATGAAGTAAGGACTATCAAGTCTAATCTGGAGTATGACACACCTAGGAATGAAAAGATTGTATATTAATGAAGTGTCATCAACCCAGGTGGTTTAATCCAGTATCACTATTTGGTTAAAGAGTTGTAAAAGGTAAAGCCTTTCTAACATTGCAAATGAGAGAGCTCTGGAGGTGGCTCAGTTGCTAAAATACTTGCTTTGCAAGCATAAGAACCTGAGTTTAATCCTAGCATGCACATAAAAAGCTAGGCATGGTGGTGAACACTTGAAATCCCAGCACTGGGGAGATAAGACAAGAGGACACCTGGAGCACAGTGACCAGGCAGCCTACCCTCATCAGTAATCTTAGGTCACAGTGGGAGGACCTGTCTCAAAACACAAGATGGATGGCTCATAAAGACAGGAATACACTCACATGCATACACAACTACATACGGAGGAGCCAGAACACACAAGGGCACACATTCCCAAAAGTGAATAATCATTCAATGACATGAGAATACAAAAAGCTACTTTGACTTTTGAAAGCCAAATTAAAGTAGGACACTGTGATAAAGTACTGCAGCAAGAACAGAAAAAAAGATCAATAGTTTCTATTAAGTTTCTTAAAATACTATCGACTTAACCATTCTCGTGGGAAAATAGATATAAACGGCCAGAAAAGTACAATGAACTGAATAATCAAATGAAACAGAAAATGACTGAAGCAATGAGATTTTTCTTCAGTGGTACACTGTTAAAAGGTGTAAGGGGCAACAATGGAACATATTCCCAAACTGCTTGTGAAATATAAACTGTAAAAACCATTTCAGATCAGATACACTGCTAAAAGTGCTCATACTCCAAGGCATAATGGCCCTGGCCCATAACCCAGCACTCAAGAGGCAGAGGCAGAAGGAACACCGTAAACGGGCCAAAACCTACTCATGCCTCTTTACTCAGAAATGGGATTTCTCTATGGTAGACAGAAAATTACAGGCACAATAGATCATGTATAGACTTTAGTAGAAGCTAAACATTCAATAGGAGACAGCTACCTAAATGACCTTTGACTATCCAGTATGACTCTGCTGCCACCGAAAACAAGGATTTCAAGCAACTTGAGGAAACAGGGAAAGAAAGGTCTGTCATATAATCTAAATTTTAAAATGATACACACACTCATACGAGTTTGTGATTATAAGAGATAGGATTTTTGTCCCTTCTGCTTTTTTGTATTTTCTAGACAAGTCATCTATTTTTATGAAGTTAATAAAACAACGAGTGGGAAAACCAGGCTCACCTTTCCTTAACTTCCAATTTTAATGTAAAATATATTTCTGAAAGGTATACTGTAATGAAACACATTGAACTAACTCATTCCACACCTTGCTGTTACCTAAATTTAAGGTGCACTAATAGATATTTGCTATCCATATTCAATATTCACATTCTAACATATTTCATTTTTATTTACTATTATTGAGACAGGGTCTCACTATGCAGTCTTGGCTGACCTGGAATTGGCTATTTGGCCATGGCTGCCCTCAAACTCAGAGATGTGCCTGCCTCTGCTTCCCAAGTGCTGGTTTTAAAGGCGTGTGACAACATACCTGGTACATTTCTCAAACTGTTACACTGTAAGCAGTAACTTCTTTATATTTTCTACGTAGAGTCATCCAAAGAGACTCTAAAACCACATATTAATTGTGAAAAGTGTAAATCTAAGTTTTGGGTTTATTGGTTTTTAAGCTAGCAAGGAATAGTTTTCATTTTGATGTTCTCATACATGTATGCTGTTGTACTGCTCATAGTCTCCTCCCTGTTGCACTCCCCCAGTCCCGTCTTTTCCCCACAGTAGTCCCCCTTTTGCTTTCATCACACACACACACACACACACACACACACACACACACACACACTTATGAATAAAACAGGGTCAAACCTAGATTGTAAACAAGATTTGTAACAGCAACGTATTCTTTTATTTCCAGACAGGGTTTCTCTGTGTAGCTCTGTAGACCAGGCTGGCCTCGAACTCAGAGATCCACCTGCCTCTGCCTCCCAAGTGCTGGGATTAACGGCGTGCACCACCACCACCATCCACAGCAACGTATCCTTATTACAATGTTTTCACTATATACATATTATGTGCTACCTTAATGTCAGTTCAATAAATCTATTATATGTTCATTAAGATGACTGAAAGTCAACATTTTCAAAATGTAACTCCCCAACACAAGCCATATTTTAGTAATTCAGAAAGTCAAGCTCTGGATAAATTGAAATATGGAACCTACTGTCAAAGGTTACACTTGGAAAACTAAGGACGGTCGTGTCTAAATCTGATACCTTAAGTGTGTCCAGTATACCCCGATCCTTAAACGTCTGGTATAGCTTTTTGCGCAGTTCATCTTGACTCAACACATCACCCTTGAGAGACATGGCGGACTGAAAGAGAAAATGATAAGTTACCTAGCGGCAAAGAGGACCTAGATTTCAGAAGTCAGACCAGTGGCCTCCCGGTAAGCCCTAAGATGCTTAGCGGAGCTTGCAGCAACATAAACAAGGCATTTCCTTTCTTAAAGACCCTGGGAAGCGGCAGGTGGAACTACCTGGGCCATTGTTATCTGCTGCTTCCCGAGCTCGGCCCTCTATGGCCAGACTCCGTGGGCCAGGCCAGGCCGTGGGTGGAGAGGGAGCCCCTGACCTCCGAGCCCAGCCTGTCTCTGGGGACCCGGAGGAACGACGAGCTGAGCATTCAGCCCATTACTCCAGCAAGCACGCGCACTTCCTCGCGCAGTTCTAAAGGGTGGGCGGGGCCGTGACCCCGGAGGGACTCTGGACCAAAAGCGGCCGCTCAGCAGACAGTTTTCACTGCTCCATAGCTCACGCAAACGCCGCTCTCTCTTCGTCAGCCGGCCCAACGTATTGGCCAAACGTACCCGCCACCGGTTGCAGCGCTGTAACGCATGCGCGAACTCGGGTCGCTCGGCCACATCTCGCGAGAGTGTAGCCTCAGATCACACGGGAGTGACCCGGGTTTCCCGGCTGAAACTACGGATCGCGGGTTTCCGAGGCTGTCCTGTTTGTTGTCGGCTTCTGCCTACAGGTAGGATTTGCAGGGAAGGGGTGGGGGCGGGCGGGCGGGCGTTCCGGGTCCGGATGTTGGTCCTGTATCTCTAACCTGACCTGACTCGGAACATCGGAGCCAGTCTCTGGGGTTGCTTAATCACTGTTCTCCCGGTAGATACAGCCCCCCGGCTCCACATGGAAACGACCTCCGTGCTCTCGGAGACTTGACGTTCTCGAGGTCAGTCATTTAACCCATCACATCTCCACTGAGTGCCTTTGCAGTGGTCTGCTCCCATTAAATGCCAGTAGTGCCCTGTCCCCGCACACACCTGTTTCCGGCTTTTGACAGATGCTCTCAGAAGCCAAACTCGCATCTTGTTGAGAACCACGGGAGTTTAATTTTATAGAAAACCCCCATTGTGTGTGTGCTATGAGAAAGATGAAGATGACCCAAGTGCCGGGGATGCCTAGCTCAGATAATAGAGATCCGGGCGTGGTGGCTCATCTGTAATCCCAACGCTGGGAAGACAGGCGTGAGTATTGCTTAAAATGCGATGTCAATTTGGGTTATGATGTACCTAAAGAAGACAATGAAAATCTGGGGCTGAAAAATGTAGCTTAATTGGTAAAGTACTTGCTTAGCATACACAGAGCCCTGGATTAAATCCCAGGCACTGCACTGAAAAACAAAACCCCCACAGTATTGTTGGAGGCAGGAGGATCAGAAGTTTAAGATAATCCTTCACGACGTGGTGAGTTGGACACCAGTCTGGCATAAATGAGACCCTTTATCAAAAGAAAAAAAAAAGTTTCATTGGAAAGAAAAGAAACCAGAATCCCTGGGAGCAAGAGGAAAAACATTGCAGTCAGCTAATTAATGATGACTAAGAAGTCTTGTGAACTGAAGAGTGTAGCAGGAAAAGTGGTTGCAGGTGGAAGCAATTGAGGACATCTCTGTGGGGAAAGTGTGAGTTTTCAGTGTCTTGACTGGTAAAACTTTTGAGCAGAACGGTGAAGACTGTTCTAAAAGATGCTGATGTGTTGTAAACACTGTTTTTAAATAGCATCAGTGCCCAAAGATATTTAACCTCTTCACCCCTGTCTTTGGTCCCAAAGTTAATTAGAAGTAGATTTAGTGGTCTCTAAAAGCCAACATAAGTTCACTTGGGGGTGAAGGCATTGCTTCTGATATTATAGGGACATCCTCCCATTGGAGATCTGTCAGTAGTGTTCATACAGCTCTTCATTGCACAGACATGTTCCATGCAACAACAGTTTAGTTTTACAGACTGTATTTTGTACAACAAATGAACCTTATGCTGTCAGGAACACGGGGCAGTTTCCTAGAGGTTCTTCTGGTTCCTCCAGAGACTGTAGAGAGATTGGCTATAAAAATGGATGACTTTGAACTGGGGTGTATGAGTTTTCTCTTGTATTTGCTGCTAACTTAAAATGCTTAACTTGGAAAGGATTACTAAGTCCATCCTCCTGCTCTTTCACTGGGGGTATTCCACCATCATGAATTTTAGCTTCCTGATAACTTCAGATGATAGCCCTGGGTTTGGCCTCTAGAGCAGTTTAGAATAAGTCCGTCAAGTCCAGAGTTAGCAAATACGTGGCCTCACGTGTGTATTGCACTGCCCTAAACCCATTGCTGACCACCCTTGTTTCTCAGCACCAACTACTGGCGTTCATACCGGCTGATTAAATTTTGCTCTCAAGAAAGCCTTTGCTGTCGATAGTGAAATCCCTTTCGATTAGACATTGTATTGTATTTCAGTAATATACTGTACCTCTATCCCCCAAAAAGATACTTCCCACTTAGTTTAAAACACCCTCAGTTCCTTCTGTTGCTCTTGTTTTGTTTCCACAGCATTCTTTGTTAAATCTCACCTTCCCCCAACACACTGATTACTGTATGTAAGCGTTTCGTCGGGATGGGTCAGGACAGGATGGAACAGGAGTGGGTTAGGTATTCTGGCACTCGGGAGTCACAGAATACTCAGTGTTACACAGCTCAGGTGGAAAGATATCCTGGAGCTCGGGAGCCAAGGACCACCACAGGTTGCAGTAAGCTTGGCAGCTTACAGCCTTGCCTCAGAGAAAGGCTTCTCCGGTGTATCAGCTCCGCTCCAGCGGGACAGGGTCTTCCAGCTGGGGATGTTCGCCTAGTGTAGCAGTTTTGCTCCGCAGGAGGTTTCTTGGGCGAAGTTGCTACAGTTTAGCTTTGCTCCTGGAGAGCCGAGAGCGGAGAGCAGGGAGCCGGGCGGGAGCAGAGTGTAACAACTCCGCTCTGCCAAGGAAGGTTTCCCGGGCACAGCGCTGCTCGCTCTGCTCTGCTCTGCTCTGCCCAGGGTCGCCTCTGCTTGCTCTGCTCTGCTCTGCCCAGGGTCGCCTCTGCTCTGTCGCCGCCGCAAAAGAAGATCTTCACCCGAAGCTCATCCAAAGGTGTTTATTGGAAGACAGCTGGACCAGCCAAGCTGAACATACACAGGGTTTATATAGGGGTTCCTGGGGTTGGGGAAGTTTTTCCAGGGTAGGGATTGGTCCGATTTCAGTGCTGAGCTCAGATTGGCTAGAGCTCTGCTCCGGGATTGGTTACTTTTTTACACAGGATTAGGGTCAGATTTGGCTCTGGTTTCAGGGCCAAAGTGTGTTTCTTTCTCTGGTCCTTTTTAGCCTTTTGGCTCCAATTTTAGGGCCAGGGTACATTTCTTTCACTGACTCTGATTCCAGGGACAAAGTGTGTTCCTTTGGCACTGGTTTTAGGGTCAGGGTACATTTCTTTGGTTCTGGTTGCAGGGCCAAAGTGTGTTTCTTTGGCTCTGCTCAGGGTGTGTTTCTTTGACTGGTCCCTTTTCCCTACACTGTATCCATCCTTTTATAGTCTGATTCCCTGAACTGAGTACTTTCTGCAGAGAATTTAATGAAAATGACAGCAACACTTTCCCCACTTGGCTAGACACTGTCTTGCTCAGCTTTAGTTGTTGTTTGGTTTGTATTTTAGATTTATTTTGTTTTAAATTGTGTGTGTGTGTGTGTGTGTGTGTGTGTGTGTGTGTGTGTGTGTAAAAGGGAGTACAGGTGCCCACAGAGGCCAGAAGGAGTTAGATCCCCTAGAGCTGAAGTTGACCTGGGAACCAAAGTTGGGTCCTCTGCAAGAGCACTACATTGTCTTATCCACTGACCAATCTTTTTGCCCCACTGTCTTATTCTTCATGCAGCCTAGAATGCTTTAGCTTTCTGTTCTTGACATGTCATACTGCTTACTGAGCAATAAATTCAAACTTTTGGGTTCATATTTCTTTTACTCTAGGTTTCTCTCCTTTGGTTGTGCAGTTGGTTTGTTGTTGCTGGTTTGGGGGTTTTGTTTTTTGTTTGTTTGTTTTTTGAGACAGAGTCACAACTGTTCTCCTGTCCTGGCCTCCCAAGTACTGGAATTACAGATGTGAATCATTCTACCTAGCTTCGGTTTATTTTAAAACTCAAATGCAAGACCATGTCTCTGCCTCTTATATCTTAGAATTTTATGTAACACATGAATTTATCGTAATCTTACAGGTTCCACCCCACCCCTCTCTTTGAGGCGGGGGTCTCTCTATATAGTCTTGGCTGTCCTTGGTCTTATATGTAGGCCATGCTGGTTTAAAACAGACATCCAACTGCCTCCGACTCCCAAGTGCTGGGATCAAGGATGTGTGCCACCACACCCAGCAGTGGAAATCTCTTTTATTCCTAACTTTTACCTGCTAATAAGCTCTTAATAGCTGCCTTGTATTTCAATGTGGTAAGTTGTCTACAAGTTACTAATTGAGTGCCAGGCATGATAGTTCAGCCCTACCACCTAAGCACTCAGGGCACTGAAACAAGAGGATCCTGAGTTAAAAACCAATATGGACAAACTACACAGCAAGATCCTGTGTCCAAAAGAAAAAAAGTATTGGTCCAAATGCTTATCTGAACTATGTTAAGGTCAGACTGGAAACCTCCCTGGAGACACTGAACCATAAACTGGTATAGACACTCAGTGGCCCTGGGTATGAATGCTGTCAGCTTATAAGTTGCCCCTTATTCAGCAAATGATGAGTGCTTGTGTGCCTGCTGGGCCTTTGGCGCTGTTGTAACCCTGGGATACCACAGAGAATAAAAACTGTGTCTGTTCTCATTGAGGGTGCCTTTCTGTCACCCAGGCTGTAGGTCTCCTGTGTGCTCTTAAATAGTTACCAAAATAACTGAGTGTTTGCTACGCACATACCACATTTCCTTTGCAAAGCAGAAAAGTTAAGTTTGATGTGGTTTGTTCTTAGATTAAGCAGAAAATGTGCATGAATAGTAACTTGTTTGGTGGTGGTGGTGATTTTTGGGTTTTGTTGTTGTTCTTTGTTTTGTTTTTACTTATACTGAATGGGCTACTGTACAGGAAAAGGTCTTGGCATGGTGTCTGACCAAAACCAGCCAGGTAATACCTACTTGTGTTTTCATTTCTGGATATTCCCCTTTTACCTGTTTTTGAAGATAGGAATAACATTTACCTATCTCTTAGCATCTGTGCCTGTGGTTTCTTTAATGTCATTTAACAACAGATGTAGATTTGCTACTCCAAGATATATAATTTGCCAGGACCCGAAGATTTGCTTGAATTAAAGTGCCTAGGAATTTTCCTAATGTCTAATATGGCTTGCTGTTGAGAAGTTATGGTTTATAACAGAGAAAATAGAAATTAAGCAGATTTGCATCTTCAGTTATTTCAGTGTATACCTAGTGCTGGAAACCCTGCTTTTCCTAAAGGTAACCTACAAAGGCATTTGCTTTTCTTAACATATTTCACATACCTCAGTTCTTTTATGAATTTTGCTATTTTCATGGAGCCTGGCTGGTTTTGAACCCAATGATCTGCCTGCCTTAGCTTCCCCACTGCTAGAATTGAAGTGCCTGGCTTAATCTCTCTCTTTGGGATCAGCTAATAAGATCCTTTTCTATCCACAAGAACCATAACATATTCAAAAGTTTAGATATTATGATGTGGACAACTCCAGAGAGGGAGGGTCATTAATCGGGCTTATCTGAGCTAGGCATTTTGAAACCATCCTGGATTGTTCCTTTTTCCTCTGTGCTGCAATATAATCTACTACCAAGTTATGTGTGTCCACCTCTTCAGACTCTCCTTGTGGAGATGCTTCAGGGGTCTCTAGGGTGTTGAAGAAAACGAGGAGACTCATACATTGGTCAGTACTTTTAACCATAGCAATTACTTTGTGTTTGTTTGTTCTCATTTTGAGACAAGGTCTCACTCTAGTTCAGACTGTTCTAGAACTCACTATTTAGTTCAAGTTGGCCTCAGAGCCAGTGACCCTTCTGTCCCAGCCTCCCAAGTGCTGGGAAAACGGGCATGAGACAGCTTGTATTGTTTTATATGTTGGAACTCTAAATAGTAGTGCTTGTTTTGTGGGTTGAGAAGGTGCAGAGGTTTTATAAAGAGTTTAGAATAGTTGATCTAGAGTTGAGCTGCTCAATTGGAAGTGCTAGCCCTGCAAAATACTTACTTCAAACCAATAAATTAAAAATTCAGTTCTGCGGTTATACTAGCTATATTTCAAATGCTTAGCGGCTTCCATATTAGACTGTACAATTGTAGAGCATGTCTACCTTGGCAGAATGTTCATTAGCATGGACAACAAAGATGTGTCACCTTTGCCCACTACCCAGCGTGAGGTAAGCCTGAAAATAGTTGCTAAAAGGTTGTAGATGCTCCCTTCCTGAATTGAAATGCTGCATGCTTTCTCTTACATATGGGATCTAGGCTAAATGACATTTGCACATGAAAGTAGAAGTGGGGAGGGACTATTTGAGAGCGGGCATCTGTGAGAAGGAAGCAACAAGAAAGGGTGGTAATGACATGGGAATGATCAAAATGCATTGTGCATGGTGAGGATGTCCTTGGGAAAGCCATTGTTTGTGCAGTTAGTAAGTCCTAAGGGAAAGAAGATCTGTCTCACCGCCCAGCTGGATAAGTTGTAAGAGAACCCTCATCTGTCTGTCTTCTGGTTCCTATCCTTAGACACTATGCTTCTTTAGCATTTGCACAGCCCATAAAGGACCAAATGTGGGGCATGATGTGGGTTATCTTTCTTAAGCATGCACTTCCTTCTGCTGCCTGGGGCCCCCTCCTATGCTTAAAAATACATGTGCTGAGCAAAGTAAATCCATCCCTTGGCAAACTGTAGCCCTGCAGCCTGTTCCAGCCAGAATTCTTGATATCATCGTTTAGTGGGTTAAAATTCCAAGTTCTCTCTCCTTTCCTTTCCTCTGAAACTTCTACCAAGTCTCCCTAATCTTGTATAGCTTTTCTGGTATTCCTGTTTATATTTGTTTCCTACTTTTACTCTTGGACCCTTTTCTTAACCTTTCTTTTAAAACAAGCAGCTTTTTCAGGGAAGAACTAAATAGTAAATACTTTTGGCTGTGTGTGCTAGATGGTCTCTGTTGCTGATACTCAGCTCTAATGTTGAAGGGGAAAAAGCAATTTTTAGACCATAGTAAGAGGATAAGTGAGGTTATATTTTGGCCTGCAATCTCCAGGTGTAGGCCCTTGTCCCAGATAATGTTCTAAATATTAATTGTGCCCGAAGAATCTCTTGTTTGTCTTCGGCAATCATAGCTCTCCAATTTGAACTAAAAGTGCTAACTTTGCCTTGCTTTCTCTTTCATTAGGAAACACGTTTAAGATTTCTTTGGATGTCATTGAGTTTTCTGTGTGACTCAGCAGAAGACACAGAGAGTCTTGGTGAGTTGTCTCTCATGTCCTCAGATGTTCAGGAAGCTGACTGGACACTTGCCGTTGACTAGATCCCCACCCCACATTGAGGAGTTTTAGTTGTCACACCCCAGTGTCATATATTCTTCCATGTTATTTATTATGCAGAAGACTTATGGAGCACTCATTGTTAGCCAGACACCCTCCTTTAGAAGTTCATGCTTCACCTATGTTGGGTTATTTAGAAAGGGTCCTACAAGTATCAGTAAAGTAGCTTCAATGTTACCACTGTTGTAGAGGTGAGGCAACAGGCAGGGAGATTAAGCTGGTGCCTATGGTCACATTGCAAGTAAGAGCCTGTCTTTGTATAAATCCAAAGCCCTTGTACTGAAAATATAAGTATATTAAAATCCACACATCTACCAACCCAGCTTCCTAATAATTTCTGTTGAAAGCCATGGAATAGGGCTGGTGCAGTCACTTGCCACCAAACCTGACAACCAGAGTTTGATCCCTGGGACTCTGATTGAGGGGGAAAAAATGACTGACTCCCACATGCATGCTGTGGCATACCTCCAACACACACAATAGATGAATGTAAAAAACTTTTGGTGTAAAACCATGGAATACTTACTTTCTGCCCAACCTACCCCAGTCTCTCTTAGTTTTGTTGTTTGTTTGTGTATTGTGTTAAGACAGAGTCTCTCTGTTATGTAGTTCTGGCTACCCTGGAACCTGCTGGAAGTCACAGAGATCCACCTACCTCTACCTATAGAGTGCTGGGATTAAGGCTTGTCTACCATGCCCAGTATACTGTTTCTTAATAAATTAGTGTATGAAAAGACATATCATAGACCTTTGCATTTTCAGAGACTTAAATTTGTTGCATACATCCTTCTGATAGGAAGAAGACAAATAGACTGTATAATGGTCTGGTATAGCTGGGTTTTAGCTTCCTCTGAAGGGTACGTCCTGAACATTTCTGAGGCAAGCTAAGTATTTCCTTTGCCTAACCAGCAACCTCTATTAGTCTTTCCAGGGGTTAATATGAACACTAACCAGCAACCTCTATTAGTCTTTCCAGGGGTTAATATGAACACTAACCAGCAACCTCTATTAGTCTTTCCAGAGGTTAATATGAACACTAACCAGCAACCTCTATTAGTCTTTCCAGGGTTAATATGAACACTAACCAGCAACCTCTATTAGTCTTTCCAGAGGTTAATATGAACACTAACCAGCAACCTCTATTAGTCTTTCCAGGGGTTAATATGAACACTAACCAGCAACCTCTATTAGTCTTTCCAGGGGTTAATATGAACACTAACCAGCAACCTCTATTAGTCTTTCCAGGGGTTAATATGAACACTAACCAGCAACCTCTATTAGTCTTTCCAGGGGTTAATATGAACACTAACCAGCAACCTCTATTAGTCTTTCCAGGGGTTAATATGAACACTAACCAGCAACCTCTATTAGTCTTTCCAGGGGTTAATATGAACACTAACCAGCAACCTCTATTAGTCTTTCCAGAGGTTAATATGAACACTAACCAGCAACCTCTATTAGTCTTTCCAGGGGTTAATATGAACACTAACCAGCAACCTCTATTAGTCTTTCCAGGGGTTAATATGAACACTAACCAGCAACCTCTATTAGTCTTTCCAGGGTTAATATGAACACTAACCAGTGTGGTCCAACTTAAGGCAAACATACTCCATCAAATATGGAGACCCTCAGGCTGAATGTTTCAAATTTTTCAATCATGAGAATACATACATATCACAGATTTTCCATTTTCCTTCAGAAGATATAGTACATTGAGTTTTAAAGGACATATCACAGATATTTAATATGTAGAGTACAAAAGTCATATGCCTATGAGAGTATAGTAAAAAGCAGACCATGTTGCCAAATTTAAGTAAGAAAACTTAAAAAAAAATAAAGCTGGGAGGTAGTGGGACATGCTTTTAATCCCAGCACTCGGAAGGCAAAGGCAAGCAGATCTCTATGAGCTCTGATCTGAGGCCAGCCTGATCTACCAAGTGAGTTCCAGGACAGCCACAGCTACAAAAAGAAGCCCTGTCTCAAAATGTCAAAAAAAAGAAAGAAAAAAAAGAAGACTAGAATTCTGTACTTAATGTTAATCAATTTGGGTCTTGGTATTGAGGACTAAAAGTGTGTGTGTATGTGTGTGTGTTTTTATTTGATTAGGAGCTATACATTGAAGATAATGTCTGGAAGCTTCTACTTTGTAATTGTTGGCCACCATGATAATCCTGTTTTTGAAATGGAATTTTTGCCACCTGGGAAAGCAGAATCTAAAGTACGTATGCAACCTTAAACTTCATAAGAATTTTTAGGCTGTTTGTAATGGTATAGAATAATAGTCTTTTAGAACTGGAGAGATGAAGCCACCGAAATATAGCAACAATTAAATAAGACTTTCTCTGGAGTCCCACAGACTGTTAGAAACCAACTAAGGAAGAAGTGTCATCCACTAGGAAATGCCTCTTAAGCATATGGAAATGTAGCCCACCTGTTAGGGGACTAAAACAATTTTTGTTGCCTCAGAATGCCACAGTAGTCCATTCCGTTTCAGGACATCAAATTTTTCAGTAGAACAGACATAGATCATTTTACACCTGAGGATTAAAAAAGAACCTTACTCCCGTATGTTGTCCTTCTGTCATTGGGACTGTAGCACTTCATGTCATTGGCTTTTACAGCGCTGCTTACATTGCCCCCATTGTACAGTCTGAAGTAGGAGATACTTTTCAGTTATTCAAATTGTGCCACCAAAATACAGAGCAATTTGTTTACAGTATTGTCTGCTAACTCTTGGTCCTGTGTTATTTCAAAGCTTTGCCTTTAGGAAGACACTTAAATTTTGTTTTGAGGTAGTGGCAGCAAGAGTTGCATGGGCGTTGCCACTTGCATCCAGTTTCTGTGTACTCCAGAGACCTATTGGGTAGCAGCACATGAAAACACTTTTTAACTTGACTTGGTCTTAGCACTTTCTCTGGTTCCCATCACCTTCTTAAAGCATCTCCACAGTGTGTGCCCAATCCTCCTAGAATAATCATCATTGTACAGGCATGGGAAACACTGCTGAGAGACAGACACAAAATATATCCATTTCTTTAAGGATTCAGGGATCTTTGGCATGGCAGCGATAAGAATATAAACATACTTTAGTTGTGCAAGGGTACCTTGGCAACTAGCAGCCTTCCACCAGCCCCATCCTGGAAACAACCTCCTCAATAAGAAGTTTACACTACTTTCCTGTGGTTGTCATGCAAGGTACTGAAAACTGAGTGGCTTAGAACAGAAATGGATTGTAGCACAGTTTTAGGAGCAGATGTCTGAAATTGAGGCCTTGGCAAGGCCACACTGCTTTAGAAGGTAGTTCCCTTGACTTGTGGCAGCATAATGCTAGTCGTGTGACAGCATTCTCCTTGTGTCCGTGTGTTCAAATCTCCCCAGTTATTTTTTTGTGTGTGTGTGGAGGAGGATGAGGCAGAGTTTCACTCTAGCCCAACTGGCTGGGAATTCACAAGATTGTCCAGGATGGTCTCCATTTCATGGTTGATTCTCTTTCTTCAGCCTCCTTAGTGCTGGGGTTACAGGTATGAGCTAGCACACACAGTGAACCTTTTTCCAAGGACATCAAGAACACCTGACTAAGAGGCCCACTCTACTCCAGAGTGAGCTCATTTTAACTAACCACATCTGCATTGACCCTCTTTCTAAGAAAGGCCATATTCTGAGGACCATATGAGTTTCCTTAAGGAGAGACTAGCAGTGGTTCTCAGCCATCTTCATGGCTGCAACCCTTTAATTCAGTTCATGTTGTGGTGACCCCCAACCATAAAATTATTTTCATTGCTACTTCTTAACTTTAATTTTGCTACTGTTATGAATCATAATGTAAGTAACTGATAAGCAGGTGATATTAGAAGAGCCCTGTGAAAGTGTTGTTTGACCCCAAAGGGGTCACAACCCAAAGGTTGAAAACCACTGCTATATAGTATCTATATCATAGCAGGTAGTTTTTGAAAAAAGAACATTGGGAAAGAGAATTCTACAGGAGTAAGACTATATCCAGGTTGTGAATGTCCTCTCTACATAATAGTGATACATTCCTACCTTCTTTCCAGTTAGGCCATTTTGCCCATGAAGAGAACACTTCTGGTTGTGACAGTATTGTTTTTACTACTGACAGAGATGACAATTCATAGCCGGGGCTGAATATGACTCCCTCCCCATCCCAGATCCCAAAGCCATGTAAACTCTTGTTCTGCAAAAGGCATATCATAGGTCTTCACGTCTGTCTCTGCTGTTTCTGCTCAGGAAGCCTGGCTCTCCCTGTTGCCTCTGGCTGTTGAGGCCCCATGTGCATGGCATACCTTTGCATCTTTCCTTGACATCCACTTTGGTCTAGGAAAAGTGCCCTCTTTTACATAATACATCTGCATACACAGACCTTGTGTGGTTCTCTTCTAATAAGATATGGGCTAATCCGGGTGTTGGTGGCACATGCCTTTAATCCCAGCACTCGGGAGGCAGAGAAAGGAGAATCTCTGTTAGTTCGAGGCAAGCCTGGTCTACAGGGCGAGTTCCAGGACAGGCTCCAAAGCTACACAGACAAACCCTGTCTCGGAAAAAAAAAAAAAAGATATGGGCTTCCAGAAAGTAGGGTCTTCCTTATTTCCCCAATTAAATAGTTATAGAATTTGGTAATTGCCTTCTTCCAGCATTTAAAATATAATGTTTAATAGTTTCTTGAGAACTTTTATTAATTGACTGTTCCTATTGTTTATGAGTGATAGATATCAAGACTGTAAAAATATTTTATGTCTCATGATGACAATACATGAAGTAAATGAAAAGAATCATTCCCTAGGGCTGGAGAGATGGCTCAGCCATTAAAGGCTAGGCTCACAACCAACAATATAAGAATCCTCCCCTAAGAAAAACATGTATGTACAAAATGAAAACCAGAATGCTGGTGCACACCTGTAATACTAGCACCTGGGAGGCTGAGGCAGGATCAGGAGCTCAAAAACATTCTAGGCTACATAGTAAGGCCATACCTAAAGTAAGAGAACACACACAACACATACAAATTGACAGAATTTCAGAATGAATTGTCTGTGGTCCCAAGGCCATATGGAAATGTTCATCTTTCTCCATTCTCTGTCATTTAGGATGATCATCGTCATCTGAACCAGTTCATAGCCCATGCTGCTCTTGACCTTGTGGATGAAAACATGTGGCTTTCTAATAACATGTATTTAAAAACTGTGGACAAATTCAACGAGTGGTTTGTATCAGCATTTGTCACTGCGGGACATATCCTTTCCTTATGTTGTAGATTGCTTTCTGTTGCTATTAGAAACATGACCAAAACCAACTACAATCGGAAAAGGTTTATTTAGCTTACACTTTCCAAGTTACACTTCATTGTTGAAGGAAGTCTGGGCAGGAGCTCAAGCAGAAACTGAAGCAGAGACCATAGAAGAATACTGTATACTGGGCTTGCTCAGGCTTGTATTCATTTACCTTTCTTATACAGCCTAGGCCCACCTATTTATGGGTGCTACCTACAATGGACTATCAGTTAGCAGTTAAGAGAACGCCCCTCAGACATTACCACAAATACTTAACTGAAGGCTGAGTTAGAAAACAAGAACTTGAAACATAGAGGCAGTCTCTGAATTTGAAGACTTCAAAGAGTCAGGCTGAGATAAATTTTCCATTTATGAGGGTTTTTTTTGTTTTGTTTAACAAATAATTTTAAAGTGTCTCACATGTAAAACTAGGGTTTATCTGAACCACACCAAGGGCTATTTCACTTTATCTCTGTGTCCTAACTTTAAAAGATTACATTCTCCTTAAGGTAAAGTTACATTGACTTTAAGCCAATTTATATATTCAGCTTTGCCATCACAAAATACAGTTCATGTGACTAATATGAAGATTATTTTATCAGATGATTACTTTAAATTTTTCATTTCTAGTAAAGATTATGCCTTAATTTTTACACATATGAGATTTATTATGCTTCATGATGTGAGGCAAGAAGATGGAATAAAGAACTTCTTTACTGATGTCTATGATTTGTATATAAAGGTATGGTATACTCTATAATTTGAAATAATCTGATTTTAAAACAGATAGGGCTAGAGACATAGTCCAGATTAAGGCATAAAAATCGTATCTCTTATCATTAGTAACTCCATTTTAGTGTTTTCTCACATATGTTAGGAAGCACTTATATTAGCTAAGGAACTGATGAATTTTAGCTTTATGTTAAAGGATTAAAAGGATTACAATGCACAGTGACGGATGTCTTTAATCCCAGCACCTGGGAGGATCATGAGTTTGAAGCCAGCTGGGCTACCCAAGAATGATCGTACTTAATAGCAGTATGGTGTAGCTCTTTTTTGTAACTGAGCGTATGAGACATTTACCATTTGTTTACATAATTCAAAGGGCTATATAGATCGTATCCACATTTATAATGAATACAAGGTAGATTCAAGATCCATGTTAATGTATATAGACCATATCAACATACAGCCATTAGGTTAGCTGCAGGTACTTCTCAGAACAAAAAATACTGGAACACAGAATTCTTGAAGAGGTGACAGGAAGGTGATGCATACCTGTGATCCCAGCTCTTGAGAGGTAAAACCGGAAGATCGGGAATTGAAAGTCAGTCTCAGATATATGGTGAGTTTGAGACTGCTTTGGATTACATAATACCCTATCTCAGACAAACAGGTGTGGTAGCATAGGCCGAGATTTCAAGAACTGGAGAGACTGTGGAAGGATTACAGTGAGTTTAATGCTAGTCAGAGTTCAAGGCCAGGCTAGGCTACAGAATGAGAAACTGTCGTCTCCCAGGAAAATTTCCTTTAAGGGGACATTTTTGATGTTTATTTTTTAAAGATTATTGTTGCATTTTTTGACTCTAGGGGGCTGGGAAGAGGTGGCACCTGCCATGATGTATGCATAATGGAGAGAGGTCAAGTCCGCTTGCAGGAATCAGCCCTCTCCTTCCACCATGTGGGTCCTGGGGATGGAAGTCTGGTTGTCAATCTTGCCTTTAGGCACTGCCTTTACCTTTTTGAGAGTCTCATGTAACCCTACCTGGTCTTGAACTCACTATGCAGCTAAAGCTAGTCTTGAATTCCTGATCCTCCTACACCTACCTAGTGCAGAAATCACAAGTTTATGTACCTACACCTGACTAAGATGTTACAATTTAACAATGGGCATCCTTTGAGAAGCCCACACAAATTCCCTGGGTGTGCTTTTCTTCCTGGGTGTCTTTCTCTTTAACCCTCATGATTACAGTCTATATTTAAGTACCTTTTTAAAAATCCCAATTCTGCTTCTTAAAAAAATTAACAATGAAGCACTTTCAATGAAAACTAAAAATGATACTCAGGCTATTGTCTCGCTATATTTTATGTTAAAATGTAAATTTCCTTTAGCAACCTGTAATTATTAGCCTCTTTCCTTTAACAGGCTCACTAATACCTTCTTCTTTCCTAGTTTGCAATGAATCCATTTTATGAACCCAATTCTCCTATTCGATCAAGTGCATTTGACAGAAAAGTTCAGTTTCTTGGGAAGAAACACCTTTTAAGCTAAGTGGAGAAAAACTCTGAAATAAACAGTATCACACTCAGGAATGTGTGCCTGTAAGTCATCTGAAATAGTCTGGGAAACTTTCACTTAAAATTGTACATTGTTTTCATGTTGACTATCAGCATTAATATTTGCTTGTGAACAGTGTTATTTATAAGGAGCTCTTTACCTGTAATTTTAAAGGTTCTTATTTAAAAGCTTGAGAATGAACTTTTGACTTTTCTGGTTGAAGTAATTTGCTCTTAATTTATTAATTCAAAAGCAAATGTCATAGTATTTGTTAGATGTATTTAAAATGAAATGCTTCTGCAGACGTGAACGAAACTGAATTACTTGCACATTTAGAGAGATTCTTTTAAAATGCATAGACACTACAGTACCAAGAAGCTGAAGCAGAAAGCCTCTGCAATGCCAAGTGTTACATACCTGCCTGCTTCTAAACCCTAGACCCATATACACTGGACCAGTTACAGGCCACAGCAAAATGTATTGCCTCTGTCACCTTATAATCTTGTGTTTCCTTTCTCCTAATAAACTAATGAAAGTTGAATGAACTTGTTCTATCTGTACTTAAAAATGTTGTGATACAGCTTTGGTATTGCTAATAAAAGTTTGGGTTACACTGACATTTGCACTTAGCCTTTTAGGCTATATATGGAGTGGGAGGTGGCAGATGTAGCTTCTTCTATAAGAAATGTTGGTTTGATTTTACAATAGCACATATGCATGGGAAAACAAGTAAAGCAGCTTTCCATGTACACACTGGAAGACTTTCCATTCTAATTTTTGAGTAAGTAGTTATAAGCCTTCTTGTATCCTTTTGTGAAGTTGTTGCCATCACTCTTTGATTTCTTAAATAAAGACTTACATTCAAGATTGTGGTAGTTAAATGCCTACTTTTAAGATGCAGCCCAATACCAATACTTTTTAAATCCCATTTTCCTACTGAAGTCTGAAACCTAATATGGTATATCTCAACCCATTTAACAGCTCACATCACAGATCACCTCTCACTAGATGCCAAAGGCACTCAGGTAAAAATCTAGAACTTGGAGCTGGAGAGATGTTACTCAGCAGTTAAGAGTATGTTCTGTTCTTGCAGATGATGACTCAGGTTGGCTTCCTAGGTGGAGCGGTTCTAGAGGGATCCAATGCCTCTGGCCTCCTTTAACACCTGCACTTGCAGGCACATACTATTAAAAATAATCTTTTTTCTGTAAAAAAAATCTGTTCCTGCTGGGCATTGGTGTTGCATGCCTTTAATCCCAACACTCGGAGGCAGAGGCAGGTGGATGTCTGTGAGTTCGAGGCCAGCCTGGTCTACGGAGCAAGTTTCAGGACAGCCTCAAAAACAATACAGAGAAACCCTGTCTCGAAAAACCAAAAAAAAAATCTGTTCCTTTAAACAATACTAATAGGAGAGACCCAAATATGTATTTATCTTATACAACTTGTCTCACCCTCAATGAGCACATAACCCACACCCAGGGAGGTGCTGTAATTCCAGACACAGCAGCAGCAGCATATTACAGCATGAAGCCAGGGGTGAGACTTGACTTCTAGCCTTGGAGAGCAAGAGGTACCTTGCAAAGAGCCTTTCTTTTCTTCAGGCTTACGAGGACAAGAATGAGAATTAGGACTACTCACCTTGTGTGAGTATATTGCCAAAGTTAAGTACTAATCTTCACATGTGACTGTCAAATAGTTCAAGGGGATGTCCACAATGACTGGGACCTCAGAATGTTCAAATAGGAAAGCACCATTCAGACATACAGGCATGGAGTCAGAACCTGTATAAGGGCTACAGCATTAAGCAAGCTCATCTGACAAAGCTTAGATCTGACAAGTAATGTCCCTACTAGATGGGAAATTTTGTGTTGGCACTAAACTTACAGTATACATTATACTCTAAAGGTGATCCAGATAAAAATACACAAACCTGTTTGTGTCCTTTCTGTAGCTGGAAATTCTTAGTACTTCACTCAGTGCCATCCATGTTTTGTTGTATTTTTAATACATAGGCACTATTAAGTATTCTGCCCATACTACTACCCCTGTGGCTTTTTAAAGTTTGACGTGTGTGTGTGTGTGTCCATCTATGTCTAGGTAATACCAGCCGTTATTGCACCCCCGACTTTCCTCAAACAAAAGAAAACCCTATCTTCATGTACCTCATGCTTTTCTTTCAGTGTTAGCTACAGTTTAATGTCGAGGCTATCCCTTAAGGTTTTATTTCTCCTCTTCCTCATGGTTTATACAGTTGGTAGCATGTGTAATAGGTTAGCTAGTATTCATTACTCCTGCTGGGTACTTAGCCCATAGACACAAAACTTCTTTTGATCACTGTTTGCTGCCTAGCTCTAACCTTTTGAAAGTCAAGTTTAAAAATCAACTAGTATAATCTTTCAATAGTAAACTCAAAGTTTTGAAAATATTTTTTGAAAATTAAGAAAAATGTTTTTAAAAAGGTGGGTGGGGTTTTGCACACATGAAATCCCTGTACCTGGAGATAGAAGGTCAGGACTTTTAAATGTCAGCTTCAGCTACAAGAGTCTCATTAAACAAACAAAAGCTAAAAAGACAATCTTCTAATAAAAGATACATGGTCACTAAACTGGTGAACTCAGCAGCTGTGATTACCTGCATAAGATTGGGTGTGTTGACATTCCATCATGGAGGACTTACTGGCAGTTAAAATATGCTAGGAAGGAGGGGCTCATAAGGCCCCACCCCTCCCTGAAGATCTGTAAGCAGTTGATGGTTCCTTGAGGGGAGAAGTCATATTTCTCAGTGGTATAGGCACTAGTAAAGTTGCCAATGATGTTAAATACCTGTCCTCCAGAAAGTAGCCCTAAATACACACGTGTCTGTGTGTAATAAAAGCCTAAACATATCTAGGATGAGTTATGTCCCCCTAAAATTCATGTTGAAACTTTAACCTCCAAAACCTGATTGTGTTACCAACTTGACACAATCTAAAATCATGTGAGAAGTCTCAATGGTTGATCACCTTGTGTTAGTTGAAGTGAAAGACCCACCCACTGTAGGTGACACCATTCCCTAAGCAGGAGGAATTCTGGATTGTGAACACTGGTGTCAGGTCCCCAAGAGATTCAGAACAAATAGATGTGACTGTATTCTCATATCTACAATAAAATCCTCAATCATACCTTGTAGTAGTCACACCCTCATTTTATTCATCTGGTGCTTGAAACCCAAGAGGGCATGTATGAGCTCCCTTCCAAGGAACTCGGCCTCTCCTAACAGAACCAAGCTGCTGATCTGATGTTCCCATATGTATGTTCTGCTGGCTTCTGCCACCCACCATACCTGACTCCAAATTCTAGAGTTCACCTCTTCAGCTGCTTCTTCAAATTCTAGAGTGCATGCTTATATTGCTCTTTCATAATGACTACAGGCTGTAACTGTGAACCAGAATAAACCTCTTTGTTAAGTTGTTTTTTTTACAATATTATTCACAGCAACAGAAAGTTTTAAATGTGAATGTTTAGGGCAGGGCCTTTGAAGAACTAATTAAACTGAGGCCATTTGGGTGGGGGCTTAATACAGCCCTGCTAATAGACGATCAGGATTTCAAGGCCAGCCTAGACTACATGGAATTGTCTAAACCTACCCATCCAGCTGTCTCGTGTGTGTGTGTGTGTGTGTGTGTGTGTGTGTGCGTGCGTGCGTGAATGAAAGTTCACTGTAACATGAGTTTGAATTGCTCCAAATTTAAAATGTTCCCATATAACAAAAACTGTCCCTCCTGTTAGGAAATTACTTTCAAAACCTTAAACTTACTGCAATGATTTGTTTCCTCCTAGTTTCCAATGGGTGTCGTCGAGACACTGATTATTTTTTCACATTCTACCATCCCCCAATTCCCAGCCTAGGAATTCACTCTCCTACCCCAGTATGTCCTTAATTATCATAGGGACCGGTCTTAACCTTATTATAACAGCAGTCAGGCTAGGCTATGATTGATATGCACCCACGGGACAGGACTGTTGTGATACCACATATGAAATCAACTCATGAAAGAATTTGAGAGGAAAGAGCCTCAGTAACATCAGGTAGGCCTATAGGGTGTGGGAGGGCTCAGCCAATTGTGGGTGAGGCCTGGTGGTCCTGAGTTCTGTAAGAAAGCAGACAGAGCAAGCCAATAAGCAGGACCCCTCCATGGCCTGTGACTTCTTTTGATGATGAACTATGATGTGAAAGTGTGAGCCAGATAAACCCTCTCCTCCCCAAGGTGCTTTTTGGTCATGGTGTTTCATCGCAAACTGCAAGTTGTCTTTTTAGAATAAAGTTTTGAGAGAAAAATCACTCAATAGTGATAGAGAAGATACCAAGGAAATACCTGTGTAAACACAGTTGTCTTCATTACCCTCTCAGGAAGTACAATTCTGGGCTGAAAACACAGCTCACCTGTCATGCATTTAGACCTGGCAGCACAAGCTCATGGTAGAGGCAAGACTACCAGAAGTTCAAGGTCAACCTGGAATACATGAGACTCTTTTTTTTTTAAAGCTAGCTTCTCTGTTGGGAAGGGGGATATATGTGCATGTCACACAACTAAATAAATCAGTGTGATAGATTCTAATATGCAGAATAAGAAAAGTCATCTTAAAAAGATGAGGTAATCAAATCAAAAGCTATCACAACATAAAGAAATGCATTAGACTTTAATCTTTAATAGTATTGCTATAGGAATTCACTTCCCTGGACCAAGAATAGAATGCTAATTACATAAAAATACACACATATAAAAGTAATTCTCCATTTTCTTGTGGGGAAAAACAACCAAAGTGTAACTTCTAGAACAGTCAAAGTTTTTGAATTACAATTCAATTCTTGGTCACATCTTATTAGCACTAACATTTTAAATTAAACATTAGACAACCATTACAATTTATAAATGTAAGGTGCCATTACTGAGTAAATAAATTTCCCCCAGAGTGAATGTGTCCCTTCTCCCACCAACTAATGAGGCAGCAATATTCATTCGTTAGTTGAATTTTATTAGTAGATGAACCAACCCTCCAGCAAATATTAATTCTCATTTCCACCTTCCTCTTTCGTGTGTGTGTGTGTGTGTGTGTGTGTGTGTGTGTGTGTGTGTGTGTGTGTGTGTGTGTGTGTGTGTGTGCACCGACCATCTTTTTAATGCCATCAACAGCAAGATGAGTTTGGCTTGGGCTTTCGGTGCAGATTGACTGTGTCTGTCTGAATCAGGTGATCTGACTTATCTTCTGTAGCCAGAACTCTTCGAACGGCCTCCTCAAAGGCAGCTGCAACATTGGTGGAATCCTTTGCACTTGTTTCAAAGTACGGATAGTTGCCGTTGTCCCTGCACCAGGCTTGGGCTTCTTCTACAGACACTTGCCGTTCATTGATGTCGATCTTGTTGCCCAAAATCACAAAAGGAAAGTTCTCAGGCTCTTTCACATCAGCATAATATATGAATTCTTTCTTCCAGTTGTTCAGATTCTGGAAACTTTGAGAATCATCAACACTATAAGTAAGTAGGCAACAGTCAGAACCTCTGTAAAACGGCGTCCTCAGGCTTCGGAATCGCTCTTGACCAGCGGTGTCCCAAATCTGCATGGTAACAAAATGTCCATCCACCTCCAAATCTTTATTCAAAAATTCCACACCTATTGTGTGGAAGAGCTGGGAATCAAATTTATTGGTTACATATCTGTTCATAAGAGAGCTTTTGCCAACTCCACCATCTCCAAGAAGAATTACTTTAAAGAGAGACGATTTTCCTGCCATTATTAATAGTATGAGTCTTTACTTCAGAATTCTGAAAAAAAAGGGAGGTACCGTTACATGCCTTATTACTGTTTCAATCCACACAATTCTAATAAAATCAACGTTTAAATGAAATAAAAACACAGCCCTGATTCCTCTTTGCAAAGGAACAACACTGTCATTTACTGTCACTTAGACATGTACCAATTCCTATCCATTTTCATTATTCCCTTGAAATAACAGTAAAGTCTCACTCTTGCCCTTCCTTGCATCACAGCTGACTGTGAAACTAGACACCAAATCTAACCTCCAAGACCTTTCTGAGCCATCACTATCATAAACTCCTCTTAGCCCCAGCCACCCTAAACTGAGAGAGGTTGCAAGAGTCCAAAGTCCATAGGCTTAACAACTTCAAACAGCTCCTCAATGTCCAGTTCACTAATACATGTTCCTACAGCCCTTCCCCTAGTCACTTCAGAGATAGGCGCTATTGAGCAGGAAAGTCTGAAGCTTTCAGAATCTCACTGATTCAGATAAGAACTAAAAATCAATAAACTAGAGAGTACAAAAAGTTTACCGTCTTCATTGGCAGCACTATTTTGAGTTGCTAAGATCAGTGACAGCAGCATGGACTTTCTCATATAATAGAGCAAAAGACTCATAAAACTCATTTGGGCAGCTCCAACTCTTAGCAAATATGTACCCACGCTGCTGTCTACTGTTCTCTCTCTCTCTCTCTCTCTGTTCTCTCTCTCTCTGTTCTCTCTCTGTTCTCTCTCGTTCTCTCTCTCTCTCTCGTTCTCTCTCTCTCTCTGTTCTCTCTCTCTCTCTCTGTAAGCATGCATGAATGACAGAAGTCAATGCCAGATGTCTTCCACCTTTTTTATTTTTGAACAGGTGGAGTTTTAGACAAGGTCTCTAGCCTGAAGCTCCACTGATGTTGCTATGCTGGATGGCCAGCAAGCGAGCCAGATACCCTCCTGTCTCTGCCTCACTGGTGCTGGCATTATAGGTACAATTCCATAGCCAGTTTTTTACATGCGTACTCAGGTCCTCATGCTTACAAAACAGACACTTTAGCAACTGAGCCATCTCCCCAACCCCACATGTGTGTATAAAGTAAAGTGAAGACCAATCTTTAGTGAAAATGTGTTAATACATGATGTATGCCCTTTAAGGAAGTCCAGGGGCAGAAGAATTTTAAAGCTTTCCTACACTACAGGAAAGTCAGTCTGTGGAGGTGATATTTCTGATGCCTGTAACTATGGCTACTTCAGATCCTACTGATGGCACTATCCCTACTTGATGTTTTGTTTTAATTTCATTGTAATAAATTCAGAGCCAGGCAGTCATGGCACATGTCTTTAATCCTAGCACTTGGGAAGCAGAGGCAGGCAGATCTCTGTGAGTTCAAGGCCAGTCTGATCTACAGAGCAAGTTCCAGGACAGCCAGGGCTACACAGAGAAACCCTGTCTCAAAAGACAAAAACAAAAAAGTTAAACAAACATAAAACTTCTGGGTGGAAAAGCCCATAAAACTTGACCCCATCTTTATCAATTATCAACCTAATGCAAAGCCTGTTTGTTCCATAACTAATATTTGCCTTTGTTTCTACATAAGTTGAATCAAACTAAATCATCTAATATACAAATATTTCAGATTTAAGTATCTGTTAAGTATATCAAATTTTATGAAGAAAATTAAGTTTCTTACATCAGCACTGTCCAAAAGATTTTTACATAATGATGGAAAGGTCCAACATGGTACTCATTAGCTGTATGTGGCTGTTGAGCACTTGATAAACAAGAAACTGAATTTAATTAATTTAGGTACTGGGGATCGGGCCTTGTGCATGCTAAGCATTAAGACATCTACCACTGAGCTACACTTCTGGCCCCATTTCTTTAATTGTAGGCTAATTTAAATGGCCAAATTTAAAAAAAAACATTTAGTTATACTGGACAAGAGTCCTAAAATAAAAACACTCATGAGCTTTACCATGACAGTGCATGTTGTTGACTCCCATGGTGGGAAAATAAGAAATGAAGAATAATTGCTTTATCTACTAGGCTGAATTTCTATAACCAGTGTAGTAGATATTATCTGTTTGTCTCTTTATTAAATGTGAAGGTATCTAGTATGACTGAATACTTCTGTAACATACAGGAATTCTGCATTTCTAACTATATTTCCACTATTCAAAAAACAGCAGTTTAGATAGTGAGAGAAATCAAGTTAGTGGGAAAACATGAATAAAAAATGATCCAAAGCTGGGTGTGGTGGTATATGCATGAAATCCAAGCACTCAAGAGACAGTGGAAAGCCAATAAATAGCAAGCCTCACATAAGCTTGTGCTTATCCAGTTTCACAATGATATCAAGAGGTCCTGGCAAGTGACTGGCCAACCCCACCTAGGCTTATGTAAGTACCCTGGAGGATGTTCACAGTACATTGAAATCATATAATGATACACTTCTCAGAATGTGTCCTCATTGTGCTGTATTTCAACATAAGAGAAAACATCTGAAACTCACTCAAAATTATTAAAATTCTCCAATGATTTATTCTTCACACCTAACTCAACTTTAACTTGGCCATCCCACCACAACTGCTGTATAACAGTTTCCTCCCAGATTAAAACCTGCCATTTTGGAGGGAATCTTAAGATAGAGTGTTCGCAGGGAAGTGAAATACACACAAAAGCTCATTAAGACAGGAATTAAGCAACTCATAATAGTTTAGGAAGTCCCTGGAACTGACCAGATTCGCTAGGCTTCTCCCTCCCCAGCCCCAGAGAGAGAGGGGGGGAGGGAGGGAGAGAGAGAGAGAGGAGAGAGAGACAGAGAGAGAGAGAGAGAGAGAGAGAGAGAGAGAGAGAGAGAGAGAGAGAGAGAGAGAGAGAGAGAGAGAGAGAGAGAGAGAGAGACTGCTGAGAGACATTCTCAAGACAAGCAAAACTTCAAATAAGACTCAGACTAGTCTAAAGTGCTTAGAACACTGGTTCTCAACCTGTGGGTTGCAACCCTTTGGAGGTAGAATGACCTTTACACAAGAGTCCCTAAACAATCTGCATATTGGTTACATTACAATTCAGAACAGTAGCAAATACAGTTATAAAGTAACAACAAAAATAATACTATGGTTGGGGGTCACCACAACCAAAGGTTAAGAACCACTGGCTTAGGAGAAACAAAGAGTGGTATAGCTGCCTAGAAAAGGCTCAGATCAACATAACAAGCAAGAAGGGACAGTCCAATCTGTTGGGCTACCTGCAGGCTCTACCTACAAGCTGTCACCAATAATGGAAGGGATGCAGCTGTCTATGGGCATTTCTGTTCCTTTAAGTAACCCCTCACCCATATTCCTGTAAATAACTCCAACAAAACACATTGATTCACCAAACTACTCTTTAGTGGTTCTGTTGTCAATTCCCTATCTGGATGAGTCAATGTTTACTCACAGGAATAATGTCATACAACAACTCACTGTCTATGCCTTTGACAAAGCACGTGTTGCTACCTCAAGCTTGATGCTGCTTCTACTCCAACCCCAAAGTCACTGCTATGCCCTCAAACCTACTCAGCTTGGTCACTGCTGCTATTGAAAATCCTTTCCCATCAATCCCCATCAATGTTGTTCTTGTCATGAGGGACCAAAAATCAAAATTAATGAAAGCTTAAAAACTTGGGCCCTAAGTCTATACAAAGAAAGGGAACTTCTAATGGTGAAGGAAAATTTAACCCAGGAGTGCCATGGCTGGCATCTGAGCCCCTGCTCTCAGAGAAGGGGAGGTAACTGTCCATCACCCCTGTTAACATTCCTTTGCTAACTGCTGGTCCTAAAGGTCCCCTGCCAGCTGTAAAGATACCCAAGCCCAGGGGACAGCTGGCAGACCCTGTGACCCTGTAACCCTGCAAGCCCATGCCCTGTCTTATCTTACTCAAATGTATCTTACTTAAAATATATAGTTACTGCTTTACTCTGTACTTTGTATGACCTTAAGTAATTATTGAAACTGAAATTTGTGGCCTTCAGCCTTATGGTCTGCCCCTTTAAAAGCTTCTCTTTTTGGCTGGTTAGGATCTCATTTCCTTCACCATGGAAAGAGATCCAAGTTGGTCACCTTGAACAATAAATGAAACCTTTTGCTTTTGCATCAGAGTGTCGACTCCTTGGGTTAGTTTCTTGGCTCCTCGAACCTGGCACAAGATTTTGGTTCCCTGACTGGGAAGAGCGTGAGTCTCCCAGGACTCAGAACTCTGAGGGTTTCAACCCCAACTAGTTGGGTGAATAAATGTTTTATGTCTGTCTGTTAAGTGCATGTTCTTCTAATCTAGGAATCAAGGTACTTCTAGGCATCTAGGTACGCTAGCAAAACAGGTAATAGGTAACAGGCCAAGAGCTTGGCAGACATGCCTACAAGGCCAGGCCTGGTGAAGCAAGGAGACGTCCCCGACTTCCCATCTAGGTATTCAACCGAGAGTTGGATCAAACCTGCAATCTAGGTAAAACAGGGATCCAATTGAGGACTTCTCTAGGTAAAATAGGGGTCTAGGTAAATCTAGGAATCTAGGTATGGGCCTTTTCTTCTTTGTCTCAGCGCTGCGTTTGTCTGTCTGTCTGTCTTGTCTTACAGGGCACTGTCTCAGGACAGAATCTAATGGGACAGATCCCTTCCTCCCCTTTGAAAAACATACTTTCCTGCCACAGTGGTTCCCTGTGTGAAATTACAGCCTGGCGGGAGGACAGTACCCCCTGGCTCCTTGTGCCAAGCTTGGCCCAAGACCAGCTTGCACTGCCAGTCTGACAGAGCCTGGCCAGGCAGCTGAGGAGCAGCCACTGAGGGTCATTGGGTTAGGCAAAAGCACATGGGAACGGGTGGGCAGTTGGGCACTCAGAGCCAGAGCTGGTGCAGGACTCACCCTGCCCCTCCCTCCCTGCAGGCGATCAGAGGCCTGCCAGCGCACAGGGCACAAGCATCCTCCACCATGGCCCATGGCGTCTGTCAGTGGTGGCTGCACGGGTGACAAAGCCACGGGAGAAAGATGCC